CTGACAAGTGGAAAAGCCCAGAGTTAGAGATCAGCATCTTGTCAGAATCTTGGTTTTGCCACCTACCAACTGGATGGCCTTAAGCAAAGTCATTTAACTAATATATTAGTTTCTTCATCTCTAAAATGGGGATAATAATGTTAGCTACCTCATTAAGTTACAGGAATTCCATAAGTATGGGGTCGCAAAGAGTCAGACACGACTGAGCGACTGAACTGAACTGAGTGCCTAGTAAGTATAGGATGTTGGGTGAATGTTGACTGTTACTCTTATCATCCAAAAGGTTGGCCTTTGAGATTAATTTGCTCAATTCTTCATTCCATAGATAAAGAAACTGAGGCCCAGAGTTTGGAAGGCACACATTTCAAAAGCAGAGGCTCCAGCCACCTCTTTTCCTGTCCCCTGGCTAGCTCTAAGAATGCATCTGCCTATTATTTAGGAATCCAGCAGCTTCGGGGCCCTACCTGGATTCTGCCATCCCTTTTTGATTATAAAAAAGGGCCACCATTGGAGTTGGCATGAAGTGGTGGGGCCTGGGCCTCCCTTCTGCTACCCGCTGCCCCCCATCTGGGTTGGGCTGGCTGACCTCATCACTGAGTCCAACTCTTACTCAGCACTGATAGAGTTGGTTTCCATTGTTTTCACTTTTCACTGCCCTTCTTGTTTATTAACTCATGTTCTATCTCCTTCTAAGACACAGAGCATCAGCACTTTTTTTAAAACCTCCTTTTAATCATCTACAGTCCCTGTTCACCCACCAAGCAGGTAGGTAGTGAATGTGCCTAAAAAAGAGAATGTGAAGAGGGACTTGGTGCTCACTTATCTGAGATGCAGGAGAGCAGCTTCTCAGGCTGGAAACAAAACTGGTTTATGATTCCTCTGCAACATCTGTCTCCACCCTTCCTTTCCTAAAACCCAAATGCAAATCATCTACTCTCCTCTGACAAGCTCACTCAGCATAACTCATGGTGTCTCAAATCTTCCCGGCAGCTGGAATCAGACCAGTTTTGTGGGCTCAGAGCTAGACTAAAATTCTACTTATTCAATTTGCCAAATAATGCTTATTTAGCATTCATTTATTTAATATATACTAAGCATCTAATGTGTATTAAGCCTTCTGCAAAGTGGTGAGAATGAGACCTTCGTGGACCTTATGATTTAGTGTGAAAAGGGGACAAGTTCTTTTACTACACTTGGTCACGCTTGAGTAGCTCTAATCTAGACCTCTGTTCAGTTAAAATGGGGATGAAAATACAGTTCTGTTTTCTCCTTATAGAAGTATATGTGGTATGCATTTATTGTAAAATTACGGAGGGAACAAAGTAATGTTGTAATCTTGTCATCTGGACTTAAACTCACTGGTATGATTTCCTTTGTTAGAATTGGATTTATACTGTTAGGTCATTTATTCATTCATTCATTGAGTCCCTGTCATGGGCAAGAAAGAAGACAAGCTTTTGGGATGGAAGTGGGGATGAAAGGAACAGAGCTGATGTCCTGAGTTGGTTGAAGCAGCAGAAGAGGATGCTAGGTATTAGGGAAAAAGTTGTTCTTTGAGAAGATTTTAAGAAATTACAAATGTGTTTTTGTCTCTGGGACTGATCTGGAGAGAAATAATTACACTGGAGAGACCCAGTAACAAGGAAAGGCAGAGGTAGGGAGGGAGTAGCTAGAAAGAGAGGCTCCAGAGGCGAGGATGGAGGGTGACTTAGAGCAGAGACAGGCATTCTTGGAGCAGAGGAAGTGGTGGTTTGAGTTGTATATCCTTCAACGTAACATGATGTCACTGGGAGAAGCATTCAGTACAGTTTGACTTAACACTGTTTCACTTAATATTATGTTGTTTTCCATGTTATTAAATAGCCTTGAAAACGTGAAATAAATCCATAGCATTCCATTGTTAAAAAAAAAAAAGAAAGAATGGTAAGGTAAATGGTAAACAAAGGTTAATGTATAAAATGTCAAATGCTCTAGGAATTATAATAAATCAAGGGGACGCGAACAAAGCTCTCTCCTTAAGAAATGACATCTTCACTGAGACCTGAAAATGGTAGGAGAGAACCAGTAAAAGAGAGCATTGAGAGTTCCAGGAGGAAGGCAACAACATAGCTGGAGATGAGAGAGAATGGCATGTGGGAACAACTGGAGATCAGTCCAGTACAGCTGGACAGAGAGAGCAAGAGGAGTGTGGCAAAAGACAAGCAAGTGGCCAGATTTGGAGGATACTGTCCTAAGGGCTAAGGAATTTGGACTTTAACCTGAAGGCCAGGGGAAACAGCCTGGTGCAGAATAACATCTTTCAAAACAGGATTCCAGGGAACAAATCAACCAAATGTGCTAAAAAGGCTGATGGTAAAAAAGCCAGCAAGCATGATATTCATCCTTGTCTTCATGATCTTTGTACTGAGGTTCAAAACTCCTTTGAAAGTAGTATACAACATGAAGGCCCAATCCAATGGCAGGCCATGCTCCCTAACCTCCCACCCACTGTTCATGAGATCAGTACTCCCGAGTCTGGTTCAGCCCAGGTTTTCCTTAGACCCTTGGAGCTGCAGAGCCCACCATGGAGAGATTGCCAAGGACCCCTGTTTAACAGATGGACCAGAGAAGGAAAGTCACTTGTCTGTGGCCCCACTGGAAGCCTAAGGCTCTGACTCCTTGTTTTCCCCAAAGAAATTGAACACAAGGGCTAGGATTAGAGTAACGCAATTCAGGCACTCAGGGTGCGCCATTTAAGCAGGCACTCACTCACGGGTGCCATCTCTGCACTAGCCTCACCCTAGTCCTGGCTCTGTTGGACTCACTTTGGCAGGGATTGTAACTTCCAGAAAACTCTCTGGCATCTTTCATGGTTTTTGTTTGTTTGTTTTAAGATTTTTTGTTTTGATGTGGACCACTTTTAAAATTTTTATTGAACTTGTTACAATACTACTTCTGTTGTTTATGTTCTGGTTTTTTGGCTGTGAGGCATGTGGGATCTTAGCTCCCTGACCAGGGATCAAACTCATGCCTTCTTCATGAGAAGGTGAAGTCTTAACCACTGGACCACCAGGGAAGTTCCCTCTTTCATGGTGTTGACAAGGTGCTAGGCACATATTGTGAGGAATCCTAGATGCCTACTGATGCAAATGAATAATGGATTTCTGACAAACTATGTATACAGATGTTTGTATCTTTGGGTAAATATGACCTTCAAGATACAACAGAACAAAGTCCAGAGGGCCCAAGAATGTACTCTGGGCCTGGATTCTGGTCCCCTCTCAGCCACCAATTTGCTGTGGGTGAATTGCTCCCCATCTCTAGGCTTTAGCAAAATGAGGCCATTGAATAAATAATATTTGTTTACTACATACACTGTGTTAGACACTGTTCAAAAGCCTTTGTACTTTAACTCATTTAAAGTTAAAGGCCTTCAAGACTCCCTTCACTTCAACAGGCTGTGGTTTGAGGTAAGGAAGGCTTCACAGAGAATGTGGGATCAAGACAGCCCTTCCAAATTCCCACAGGGACCATACCATCTTAAATCATGATAAAGCCATGGTATCTCAAGGCACTTGTCCATCAGAAGACACAGAATCACCTGCCTCAGAGTCAGCTCTAGAACATGGCTGAAGGTGGAGTCTCAGCCTTTGCCCCTGGAGATTGTAATGCAGTGATTCTGAAGGGGGACCTAGGTATCTGTATGAAAAGCTTCTCAGATTACTCATTTAGTCTGATTTGGGAAGCATTGACTCCAACACATACCGCAGTCTATGGATAGAATCATGCCTTGAACTGCCTGACCTGGTCATCAGCATCTCAAAGCAGAGAAACAAATTCATTGTTTTTTTTTTTTTTTTGGCATGTGGGATCTTAGTTCCCTGACCAGGGATTGAACCTGTGCCCCCTGCACTGGACATACAGAGATTAAACCACTGAAAAAGAAACTATAGCAACTCAGTCATGTTTGACTCTTTGCGACTCCATGCACTGTGGCCCGCCAGGCTCCTCTGTCCATGGAACTTTCCAGGCAAGAATACTGGAGTGGGTTGCCATTTCCTTCGCCAGGGTATCTTCCCAACCCAGGATTGAACCTGGATCTCTGGCATTGCAGGCAGATTCTTTACCATCTGAGCCACCAGGGAAGCCTTACACCACTGAACTATCAGGGAAACCCCCAAATCCGCTGACTGATTAATGCCACAAATACTAAGCACCTGATGTGTCCTAGGCCCTGTGCCAGCTGTTGATTATGGTCCCTACTCTCAAGGGACTCCTGGTCTAGGTCTGTCACTCATTTTTAGGAGCAAGTCATCTAGCCAGAACCAGAAGGGCCTTAGACAGCATCAACCAATCCCATCGTGCAGTTGGGGAAACTGAGACCCAGAGAGGGAAAGCAATATGTTCAAGACTACACAGGGAGTAAATGTATTTTCTGCTCTCAAACCAGCTGAGGAATCCCAGTGTTTTTCTAGGGAAAGGGGCTACATTCAAAAATTTTAGAGCAGTCGATTCGTTGCTTTTTAAGCACTAAGCCTGCATAGAGTAAATATTCCTGGAGGTCTCACTTCAGATCTTGCTGACATTTTAAGTCCTTGATATCCCTTCTACCAGAATGGAGGCAGGAGGAAACAGGGAACACCGAGGGAAGTTCCATCAATTCTTTGGTGCTTTTTAAAGCCCCTCCTCTGGCTGGGCTGAGGACACAGTGCTTGCCTCTTCCAGCACTTTGGAGTTGAAAGAAGAGGGGGCTGCCTCACGGGTTCACAAGCACCTGGCTCCCATCTCTCAGCCCAGACTTGCTTATGTCACTGTCGCCCAGCGGGGGAAGCGGAGGGGAAGTCATGCCCGCCCCTGAAATGCCAGGCGCCTTGCGATTGGCTACAAAGACTCCGGCCCGGCCGCGGATTGGTCATCGCTGAGGGCTTGAAAGGTGGATGAGAGCAGATGACACCTCAGACGGACCGTGGCCCGGGATCAGACAGCGTCTGCGGCGAGCCGAGACGCGCCCCCAGCCCATCATGGCCCGGCTCTTCCGGGCATCCTGCCTTCTCTCCCTGCTCCTGGCCGGCTTCGTTCCGCCGAGCCAGGGACAGGAGAAGTCGAAGGTGAGTGAGCCTCGGGGTGGGGGGCCAGGGGAAAGAACACAGCCCGCAGGTGTCACCATCTTTCGGTGAGGGCTTCCCTCTAGAAGGGTGACACCTAGGTGCGAGAGACGCCCTTAACTCCCGTTGCCTCCCTCTTTGGCGCACTCAGACTGTCGTCAGACTCTTCGCAGTTTCATCTGCTGGAGACCTGGGTGCCCCGGGTGGGCGGAATGAATGAGGGAGGAAGGTTTGTCTCTCCAGAGTTCACACTTTCTTCCCCACCGCTACCTCCGGGCCGCCTTGCTACACATCCAAACCACCGTCTGAGACCCTTCCCTTCCAGTGGACCCTGAAGGGGGTGGGGGCGCCCAGAAAATGGCCTGGAGACTCGGAGTCTGGGTGGCTGCAGAGTTCCCAGGGAGAACGGCAGGCAATGTGTGGTGCCCAAATAGCCCAAGCCCGGGTAGGATTCTGGGATACTGGTAAAAGAGGCTGACAGAACGAGCTCTGGGCTCGCAGCAAGAATGCCCAGGACACTGACTAGACCTCTCATCCTTTGTGGACCTCAGTTTCTCCATCCGCTGGAGGTGAGGGCACAGGGCACAAAGAGGCTGATGACTTCAGAGGGGATGCTTGGAGAAGCTGCAAAACCCACACACCGTTCTCTGAAGGGTTTCCTGTTTGGGGCAGCCTCAGTACCCACCAGCCACAGCCCTGATTGGCCTGCCAGCTCCATAGGAGAGGCAGAATTCTCTCGAGCCTGAGTCTACCCTCAGTAGAGTGTGTGGTCCTTAGCTGGAGTGGGGGTGCTCTTCCACCTCTCCTCTTCCCCAGGGTGGGGAGTCAGGAGCCAGGCATAGACCCAAAGAGAGAGATTTCTGTTTCCAGCCTCCCAACACACACACACACACACACACACACACACACACCACACACACACACACACACACACACACACCACACACACACACACACACACACCCCTCACCTGCATAAAATCAAGACGCTTTGAGCTTCTGTGTTTCTCAAATCTTCCATTCTAAGATCTTATGACTCCACAATTCTATTTCCCTAATCCTATCTATTGTTCAGGAAGCCTATTAAAAATGCAAGGTTACTTCTGCTTGTTTCTATCCCCGTTCCTGTCCTCAGCCTAAATTCTAATCGGTCTGCCTCTCCTGGGAGTCAGCCTAGAGACTGGATGGTTATGGGGCCACTTCCTCCTAGCCTCTGGCTTTGTATCCAGTCTTGTTCATAATCTCCAATTCAGAAGGTATTTTCCAGGGCAGGGATGGGTCTGAGTTTTGATATTAGGGTGTGGAACTGAAGTGAGGGCAGACCATGGGTAGGGCAGTATCATGGAGTCAGTCCTATAACCTCAGTTTGGGGAGAAGCAGAGATGGGAAGATGGGGCCCTGTTTCAAGAAGGTGGAGCTAAGAACATGGATCCCATGAATAGCTCATCATAGCCATGTGTTCTCTGTAGAACTCTGGGGAGGAATAGATGGATTCAGAGAAAACAGAATGGGTATGGTCTAGAAAAGCCTTAGGGTGGGGTGTGATCATATCAGATGCAACCAGCTAGGACTTGCTAGCCCATGACAGTCTGGTCCTGCCCCATCTTTCCTCCTAGGTCTTGAGAGGGTTGAAATGTCATAGCGTCTGGTTCTAGGACTCAGTCACTACTTATCTTACCCCCAGCTCCAGGGCCAAGGCAGGGGGCCAGGGGCAAGTGGAGAAAAGGATGGACAAAGGGCGACAGCCCCAGAGGGATATTTGCTTCGACCCAATTCAAAGGGAAGGGGCTGGGGAACAAAGCCTTTCCTCGCTGTCCCCTCTCCAGTCCATCTTAAGGCTGCCCAGGCTCCCTGTCCTTCCCTTACAAAAGGACTTCACAGAGGCTAGAGAGAATAACAGCTGCTGACGTGCGTGGGCTCCTAGTAACCGCTGGTTTCTAGGTGACTAAATCAGGCAGATAAAATGAAGGAACCACCGGCTGACAGTCAGAGCTGAACAGCCCTCTAGACAGCCCTGAATCTGACCCCATCTCATAATCAAGGAGCCGGAGCCCAGAGAAGGGACAGGACTAGTCACAAGTAGTCTCATGGGAGGCCCGGCCAGGCCTAGAACTCAGGTCTCCTGCCCCCAGTCCAGCTCTCCCCTCATGCCTTCGCACTGTTGGGGGTGGTAAGAGGAGTGAGGAGAGAGAGACAGGACCAGCAGTGCAAGCCAGCCGGGGTCCTGGCAGGGACTCCCCTCCCACTCTCAAGCCATCTGAACTCTCCTGTCTCATGCAATTGTGGGAGAATTGAGGTAACCTCCCCACCCCCCACCCCCATCTCCTCTGACCTCCCAGTTAAGGTGCAGGGTTCTGGGACTCCAGGGACCCACTAGGGGAGGGGCGGGGCCTATAAGGAGGTGGGGCGCATGCTCAGTACTGAGAGCAGGCTGTGGCTCTTTCCCCTACCATGGTCACTCTCTGACCCCTCTCAGTCTGCACCCACAGCATCAGCATTGCAGCCCCAGTAGAAAGCAGGAGGCTTTGCTTTGTCACAAGTCCCTTTTCCTGGACATACTCTGCCCAGTGCATCAGCTTCCTCATACCGGCTGGGGAACATCCAAGTCTTCTTCACAGTAACACAGCAACGTCAGGGCCCTTTACCAACTACCCCTTGATGGGAGAATGGGGGCTGGCTTTCTTTCCAAGAGGCTTTCAAGATGGTTTTAATCTACTAGCAAATTCCCACAGCCATTTTGGGAAACAGGTGGTTTTTCTCTCGCCCGTCAACAGATGAAAACTCAGATTGAAAGTGACTTGCTCAGGGACACACAGCCAGCAAGACTCAAATCTAATGAGAGGAGATTCCCCTTGCCCCACCCCACCCTGAAAATGGGCTTAGAAGCTGATCCTCCCACTGTTTTCAAGCTTCCCTTATTTAGACAACCTCTTGGCTTCTTTTTTTTTTTTTCCCTCCCTATTTCACAGTTTGTTTTTGGGCCAGGGAGGAGTGGAGAGGCAGGCAGGAGGCCTGGCCTTCTGGCTGCTAGACCCCTGTGACCAGCTAGGGTGTGTTTGTTGTGTCCTGGCTGTTTGCATTTGGAGCTGGAGCTGACCCCAGCTGGGGCCCAAGAGGCCCAGGGGCTGGAGGAATGTCCAGCTTAGGTCTGAGGCCTGCCTCTGGCACCCACCAGAAGTCACGGGGCATGGAATATTAGACTCACGTGAAGCAGGGAATTCGTACCCGAGCCAAGAAGAACGCTTGCAGCAGTCAGGGAATGGCCATGTGGAAGGAGTCCAGCTCTGCCAGCTCAGCAGGGCTACGGAGTCTCCGAGACAGAGTGGCTTTCTTACGCCCGCCCAGGGCTACACCCTACCAGCCCAGACGGCTCTCTTCACTCAGTTGGGCCCAGGTGCACCTCACCTTAACAGCAAGTCTTCCAGGACTGGCCAGAACAGAGTGCGTGAATTTGCTTCCCTTAACTCCAACCACCTGTCTCTGGTCTATAATGCTAGCTTGCATTCAGTTTGTTTATTGTCTTCCTGCCTCTCCTCAGATGTCCAGGCCAGGACTGCCAGCCCACCTGCTAATTGTGGTAGTGATGCAATGATGCTCTCTCAAGAGTAAACCCAGATTTTTGTAGTCTGCATCAAAAAATGGTAGGGATGAGATGAGGCTAGAGTTGGGGGGTGCGGTGGGTGTAAATTCAGCATCCCACTTGCTAGCAGTAATCCATTCCCTCTTCTCCCACTCTCATCCTTGAGAGCGATGCTGTCAAGCCATCGTGGTTCAGAACAGCTGGTCCGGTTCAAGGTTCTCACTTTATAAATGAGGAAACTGAGGCCCAGAGAAGAGAAAGGGCAAGTCCAAGACCACACAGGGAGTTAGAGGCAGAGCTGGTTCCCCAACTCATAGCCCATTGTACACTGATTCTACTAGTCTGGAGGCAGACTGTGGAGCAGCAACTGGGCAAAGAGGAAGGCCTTAAGGTCATTGTCACACTGCTCAACACAGGGAATATTGGATCTATGCCAGGCACTGGGCTTTATCCTGACCATCCCATTTAATCCTCCCAGCAGGCCTGGCCCCATTCCTGGCCCCCCTCCTACTTCCCTATTTTTGAACAACAGCCTCAGCTTTCCAGTTCTCCAGATTGGAAACGTCTGAATCACCATTTTTCACACTGTTGTTTCCTCATTTCTGTTCAGCTCTTCCTTCACGACAGTCTACTTCTGGCTCTCATCACCACTTGCCTGCGTTATTCTAACAGCTTCCCAGTCTCCACCATCCCATTCAATAACACCGGCACCGGGGTAGTCTCCCTCACCGCCTGCCTGGTGGCTGTCTAAACTGACAAGTGATGCAGAAATAATGACCATAGTTATTTCTCCAAGTTTCCATAGCACTCTCCAGCTTATTAAATGCTTTTAACATTAACATTATTATCTTATACAATGAATTAGGAGACTTCAGTTCTAGTCCAGTTTGAATTCTTGGGCAAGTCAAGACCACGTGGGCAAATGTGTTCCGCCACTGCCTGGTATCTTGAAAATGGTCGTGTCCGAGTTCCCTTCAGGGTCTAACCACTCCCTGGTGCTGGTCTTGTCTTGCAGACGGACTGCCATGCTGGTGTGGGCGGCACCATCTATGAGTACGGGGCCCTCACCATCGATGGGGAGGAATACATCCCCTTTAAGCAGTACGCTGGCAAATACATCCTCTTCGTCAACGTGGCCAGCTACTGAGGCCTGACGGGCCAGTACGTTGGTAAGAGCCACCCCTTCTTCCCTTGCTGTGTTTGGGGCTGTTTCTGCCATTTGGGCACATTCCAATCAAGGGAGCTTTCCTGGTGCAAGGAGAATGGGGGTGATGGTCATCATGAGATTTCAAACCCTGTACCTGAATCCTACTGTGTTCCGTGGTTCTGTGAAAATAATTATATAACCTGAGGTCTGATCCCCTACAAACATGTTCTAGAAGATTCTCAGTTATCCTTCATCCCTGGGTATCTCAATTGCCCTAAAAGAAAAAGGATGGAGGAGGTTAGGTTTGTGCCTGGAACTTCCTTCATTGGAGTACGGAACAGTAGCTTCCTCTTGCTGAGAAATTCTCCCCTGTCCTCAGCCCGTCTGCCTCAGTGCTTCTCTTGGCCCCTGGCCTGAGTCCCCAGAGTTTCTGTGTTAGTGACAGAACCAGGTTTCATGATCCCTGGGATCCCCTACCTCTTTCTCCTTAGCTGGGTCAGAGTCAAAAGCCAGGGGACAGGCAAGCCAAAGGCATCTGACAGCACCCACCAGAAAATGCTTTGGGGGTGTGTGAAGGAGGCAAGGGCAATCTAACATAGAATGTTCTGCCTGACAGTCATGGGCAAACTCCTGGAAGTGGAATGACAGTGAACTGGACGGCCCAGTGGGTAGTGAGTGCTCTGTCTAGAATGCTTCCATGACGTAGCCCTTGGAATAGAGCAGAGTGCATTTGGACAAGAGGTGGGCTGAGCGTAGATGCTGCACAAGAGGCCAGGAGGCACTGAGAGGAGTGAGAGCTGGGCCAGGATCTCCCCTGGGCCCCTAAATACCCAAAGTATAGGAGGGGTGTAAGGGCTCCATCCCACCCCAGGGAAGTCATCTGCCTTTGCCCAGGGATGGATGATTCTCACTCCAGAAACTCAGTTCTGAGAGTCCTGAAGAAGCCCACAGCCTACAGGCCCAGGTGGTGGGTTTAGGCAGTGGGTGACTGATTACTAATTTGAGGAAGCACATTGCTCTCTTCTCCCCCAAACCTCCAACCCATCCAGGTTGGACTCCATAGGACAGGGCTTGAATGCCAGCAATGCCACACTCAATGGATTATCTTGGGCAAGTCCCTTCCCATCAGGCCTCAGCGATTTCAGCTATACAATGGGGTGGGTAGGTGGATGGTACATGGGAGGTGGGACTCCTCACCAGGCTATCCCCGTCTCTGCTCTCTCCCTGTTCCAGAACTGAATGCACTGCAGGAAGAGCTTGAACCATTTGGTCTGGTCATTCTGGGCTTCCCCTGCAACCAATTTGGAAAACAAGAACCAGGAGAGAACTCGGAGATCCTAGCCTCCCTCAAGTGAGTGCTGACTCAGTGTCCTGAGAAAGCTCCTCTAGCAAGTCCCTCCCACCCTGTGCTCCAGCCCAGGCTCCAGCCATCTTTTATGCTGGCCTCTACTCACAATGGATATTTATCATCCACCAAGAACTACTCTCTCCTTCCAGGAACTCTGTTTAGTGGAACAAGCGGAAGGGGTACCAGGAGAGAGAAAGGGTCAGGGATGATGGCTGTCAGCCACGTTGGGGGAAGGGGAGGACAGGTTGAGGGCAGGGGTTAATGAGAAGTTACCAAATTGGAGGAAGACTGCAGACCCACATTATACCTGTGCCCATTTAATAGTCACAGGCTCCCACTGCCCATTATAGCATAAAATCTAGATTCCCAACCCCTCTTTCCCAGTTCTGTCCCCTCTTATGTCTGAGCCCATGTCCCTGGGGCCCACACAAAAACATTCCTCTTAGGTATGTTCGACCAGGTGGGGGCTTCATCCCCAATTTCCAATTGTTTGAGAAAGGCGATGTGAATGGGGAGAAAGAGCAGAAGTTCTACACGTTCCTGAAGGTGAGTACACAGCCAAGCCACATTCCTGAAGGTGAGTTCACAGTCAAGCTCCGCAGAGCCTCTCTCCCTGGGTGATGCTGGCTCCAGACAGGGCTGCAGCTGCTCCTGGCCCCAGGAGCCTGTGCCACCCTCCTTTGTTCCTGGGCTCTTGGGGAGTTTCCTGGCATCTGATTATTATTCTAACTAGAGGGCTTTGTAGGCCCTAGGGGCTCATCAACTCATTCTACAGATAGGCCCCAGAAGGGACAAGCTTAGGGTCTCACAATTTGCTAGAACCAAAGCTGGTGCTGGGATTCAGTTTTCTAACTCCCAACCTGGTGCTCTTTTCTCAATACCAGGCTATTCTCCTTCCCCTGAGAAGTCCTGGGAAGGAGGAGGGATAAGCGGGTGGGAAGGGCCCCAAGCAGAGTTGACACTTCTCTTGTCTCTGCTCCAGAACTCCTGTCCTCCTACTTCGGAGCTCCTAGGCTCACCTGGCCGCCTTTTCTGGGAACCCATGAAGGTCCATGACATCCGGTGGAACTTTGAGAAATTCCTGGTGGGGCCAGACGGCATCCCCATCATGCGCTGGTACCACCGCACCACGGTCAACTCTGTCAAGATGGACATCCTGACCTACATGCGGCGGCGGGCAGTCATGGAAGTCAAGGGGAAGTAACTGAGGCCCTTCCCACCCCCCACCCCCCATGTCCACCACACGGGCTAGGGAGGACTCTGTTCAGGAAGGAACCCATTTCTCCAACTACGCCATACTCCTATGCTAGACCTTTTACTGTGACACAGGGCCCCAGCCTGAGATGAACATTTGTGTCTGTACTGTCTGCACATGGGCGTTTGCACACATGCCTACAGGCGTGTGTACACACGAGTACAGGGCCACATGTGTCAACCTGCACAAGTGTATAGGTGGCAACAGCTGTGTGCCGTGGAGAATGCCAGAGAGGAACTTCCCTTTCCTTCCAGTTCTCTGTTCCAGTGATAACCATTCACTTTCAGCTGAGTCCAAACTGAAACGCCAGCTCTAGATTCAATTGTTCTGCTTTAACCAGGACCTCACCCTACTAGGCTGGCATCTCTCACTGCCTCCAAACACCACCCATAAGTGCCCAGAAGTTTCTGGGTCCTCCGCACTGCCTGACTCCCTCCTTCCTGAGGGCCCTCCCCCGCCCCCCGCCCCACCACCCCCCTCAGCGTTCCCTGAGAGTTGCCAAGGCAGCCGTGAGAGCAGGGTGCCACGCTCTCTGTGTCAGGGGGCGGCATCGCCATGAAGGAGGGGCCCGAAGCCCTTGTGGGCGGACCTCCCTTGAGCCTGTCTGAGGGGCCAGCCTTTAGTGCATTCAGGCTGAGGCCCCCGGCCAGGGATGCCACCCCACTCCCTCAGGGAGTGTGTCCTCTCCCCTCACCCTGACCCGCTGGCATCAGACTCACCCCTGTCTGCCTAGTAAAGACCTTTCTGCAGCAGCTGAGCCGACTGTTGTGCTTCTTCCATGGGGCTGTCCCAGCGTGGGGGCAAGAAAGCTGGAGGTGGGAGGAAGGAATGAACGGAGGGCTTTGGGTCCTTGCTTTTTGGTTTCTACCTAGGCCCACTCTGCTTCCTCACTCAGCATTTGAAGTCTATAAAACCAACTCACATCTACTGTCACCCCACAGTTCTCTCTAAGGCAGCTAGCACTGAGATGAGGTGTTCCATTTGACAGATGAGGAAACTAAGGCTCACAGAAGGGCCAGGCCTTGCCCAATGTCTCCTGACAAGTGAGGGGCAGGACTAGAATGTAAACTCAGGTCACCTGACCCCCAGCCCCTGGATGCTCCACCCTCATAGAAGCTCTGAGCAGGATCCCAGGGGATACCTGCCAAGAGTAATGGTGGTGCTCTTGTGGGGGTGGGGGGGGGGGTGCGTCTGGGAGGAAGAGGGCAGAGGGAAGGGGGGCCAGGAAAGCAGCACTCTGTTTGACAAGGAGGAGCACATTAGCCAGGGCATAAAAGAAATCCGGTCACAAAATGCTGATCTCCAACTAGGATTTATGTCCAAGATTCGTGCAAACAGCTGTCCAGGGATCAAGAACCACCCCAGTCCAGGCCTCCACACCATGAGCCTCCAGCTGAGGGCCTGGCGGCTCCACGCTGGAGCCCCTTGGCCAACGGGGGTCTCGACTGCACCACCTGGAGATTGACATCTGCCAGCAGTGTCCGCAGAAGACGGCAGGTCCAGGCTGGATGACACCTCTCTCCACTTGGGGGCACAGTAGTGGGCTTTTCCCAGTCACTCCAAAGGAGAGGCCCAGATGGTCACCTTCTGGATGGAGCCTCTCTAGTCTGCAGACCGTCCAGGTTGGGGCCAGGGCTCAAGCCGGCCATCCATCTCAGCCTCCCAAGTGGCTGCAGCTCTGGCCACACAGAGCCTGTGGCCTCTAGCTTTCCAGTAATTTGAAGTCGGCTGGCTCTGTGAGACGAAGGTGGAGCCAAGGGACTGGTTTCACTGAGGTCCTTCACGGTCATTTTTGGTGGACTCTAAATAAACAAATTTAGGACTTAAAGATGAGGTGGTACAGTGGGTTTCAAAGTCCTGTGGAAACAGATACAGTAAGAATGGGGGAAAAAACCAGGGTTGTTGGGTGTTAATGAGTGCCAGACCCTGGTCAAAGCACCTTAGGTACATTTGTCATTCAATCCTTGCCAAGACCTAGGAAGCAGGCAGATTATTACCCCTTTATGGGGGAAGGAAGTGGGGCACAGGGTAGTTTTTAAAAACTTGCTCAAGGTCCCAGGTCTAGAAAGTGTTGGCACCCAGTCAGTCTGGTTCCAGATCCCAGAAATGGAGTAGTTCTGGGCAAAGGGACAGTCCTGCCCATTTGACCACCCTCTGCTCTCATCAAAGTGGGCTCCTATGGCTCCACAGCACCCCCAGGGCTCCAGGGGGAAACACGAGAAGTGACTGACCAGCCCAACGCCTCCTCCTCCCAGCCACGAGAGCCTTCAAACCACACCCTCTCCAAGTTGCCCTGCAGCCTCTGCCCACGCTATTGCAGAGGGGCCCTTGACCACCAGGCATGGCAGGCTCCATTTCTGCACAGTTGCAACCTTTAGAAAACTCTTTCTGCTGAAATGGACTTGGCTCCCCATGGCTCCCACTAGTTGCGATTCTGTTCCCAGAAGCCCCCACAGGCAAGGGCCCATAAGAGCCTCGCAGAAAGTGAGGGAGAGACTAAGGGCCCAGAGTCCTTTTGCAACCAGCAAACAGGCCATTTAAAAATGTCCAAGGCCTGCAGGCTATCCTTAGGATAAAGACCAGCCCTTCTGCTGGGGCCTACAAGGCCCTTGAGGTGGGACCTACCAACCTCCCTCACCTCACCTTGCCTGCCTCCCTTCTCCATCTTGTTCCTGGCTCCAGCCAAGCCAGACTTCTGATGATCCTCAAGTCAGCCACAGTTCTTCACTCCCTCCCACCAAGGTCTCTGCACTTGTCTTGGCCTCCCCGGCATCTTACACAGAGCATAGCGTTTAGAACATTAAACTATAATCAATGGAAGGAATGGTTTCAACTCCTTCATGGTACAGTCACCACCCCTTTCTTCTCAACACTATTTGAGAAACTTGGGCCTCTCCTCCACTGAGATCAGAAGGTAGCAAGACTGCTCCCAAATTGGGACGATCCTGGCAGATTAAAAAGTTATCTTTTTATAAACCAAGGCCCATTACCAGGGGCCACACTCACCTGGTTCCGTAGGCCTGGCAGTAGGTAAGTCCATCACTTGGGAGCTCTGATTACGTACCCCTCCACAGGGCAGCCGCCAGGTATATTCTGGCTGCAACAAAACTGGTGCTTAGTAATCAATGACCATAGTAGCAGCTACTGTGCCAGAACAGTACTAAGTTCATATTAATCAACTGTAACTGAATCCTTACAACAACTCAGGTTACCACCCCCATTTTACAGGTTGGCAAACTGAGGCTCAAAGGGGTGGAGTAACTTGTCAAAGGTCATCCAGCTTGGCAAGTGGTCAAGCTTTGATTTGAATCCAAGGCTCACAGTCCCACAGTACACTCCAGGGTTTAAAGATGCATGTAAGGAATGGTCATGGGGGAGAAAAAGGGGGAGAAGCAGATGGGATGGGGGGCAGCTGGCACTGACCAGGTTGAGGGGGGGATGCCTGAGGGGCTGTGGCAGGGGCACCGAAGAGAATGAGAAAGGGGTCAGAAACTCTGGAGACAGAATGATAAGAAGAAAAAAAGCAAAAATTTTTTTTACAAAAAGGAAGAAAAGAGAAAAGGTAAAGAAACTGAGAAGGAAAAGAGAAGAAAAAGCAAAGGGAGAGAATGCATGGTGAAGACCTTATACCTGGTAACACGTGGAGGTCATGAAAAAGGTCAAACTCCTGGCCTGGCTGGCAGGAGAGAGCCCTCCTGCCGGCCCCGCTCCCTTACCCAGCCTTTTCTGTCCCATACCAGGGCCTTTGAGCAACCCTGAGCTGGAAGGTCCTGCCCGGGGGATGGCAGGCTGCACACCAGTCTGTTCCCAAGGGGCAAGGATGCAGCTTCTGACCCTCTCACTTGCCCTTGCTCTTGGCATGTGTCTGGCTGGCCTGTGTGTGCGTCCTGGAGTGAGGGAGGGGGCACGGACTCACCAGACGGAAGAGGCGTGAGTTGGGAAGTGGGGGCGGGTGCTCCATGGCCGTGGGGGGTGGGGGGTAGCGGATCTGGGACCAGTCCTCAAAGCCAGGGTGCGGCCCAATGGGGGGCATGGGCGGGTAGGCGTAGGGGCAGGCCCCGCAGAGGTGCTCTGGGTGGGGCTCCAGGTGGTAGCGGTCTGCTGAGGTCTGCAAGAAAGGTGGCATCTGGCTCTGGTCTGTGACAGGCTGCATGGGCCACCCCAGTGCCATTCATCCCATCTCCCATTCTCCACTTAGGGTCTCGGTTCTCTGAAGACTGGCACGTGGCCATGGAAGGTTGCACATGGGCCCAGAATATCAACTATGATGACAGCTGGTATGTCCTGAGCACTTGTTCTTTACCATGTACTGTTTTAAATGTTCTAGCTGCATTTTTTGTTTTGTTTGTAAAGCACTTAGCACCACAGCTTAAATAAAGGGTCAGAGGACCTGACATGTAGTCGAGCTCATAATTTATTCTGTCATTTGCTAGGTGTGTGTGTGCTCAGTCACTCAATTGTGTCCGACTTTTTGTGACCCCATGGACTGTGGCTCTCCAGGCTCCTGTGTCCACGGAATTTTCCAGGCAAGAATACTGGATCAGGTTGCCATTTCTTTCTCCAGGGGATCTTCCCGACCCAGGGATCAAACCCGAGTCTCTTGTGTCTCCTGCACTGGCAGATGGATTCTTCCCCACTGTGCCACCTGGTGCCTCATTAGTTAGCTGGACACCTGAGCAACCAATGCCTCCCCCGTCAGACTGCGGCTCCCTGAAGGAGGTAAAATGCAGTAAGTACTGCCTCCTCCCTCCAGCCTCCTCACCTTTGCTTTCCTCTTCTGCTGTCTCAGGGCATCTTTCGCCTTTTCCTCATCTTTGAAGGCTTTTAGCTGAGAGAAAGAGGGAGGGAGAGAAGTCTGTTAGCAGAGGCGCTTCCTGGCCAGGCCTGGATCCAGGCCTAAGCACCGCCAGGGTGGACTGGCCCTGCCTGGCCCAGCGGCGGGAAAGGGCCCTGGGGGGCAGAGCACGGCCCAGGCTGGGGGCTGCGGGTGAGGCCTGCTCACCACGGGCTGTCTGAACACAGGTCAGGACGGCTGCATGAGCCGCACTGCTGCTGTGCTTCAGCATTCATGCCTTTTAGCTTCAGTGTGGGAAAGAGTGGATGGCTTAGAGCTAATTCCTACTTTTGCTCTTTAAAGGCGTCAAAACTGATTGTGGAAAATCAGGGTTAAAAGTGGAAAAGGGAAAGGACTTTCTGAGGGCCATAGAAATGTGTCAGCAGAGCCGGAAGGAGAATTGGTGAGCCTCCTACCAACCAGTGTCGCCAGGGCCCTCCAACCCATGCCCCCCCCCCCCCCATGGGCACAGCCAGCTGCCCCCTCCTGGGTCCCGTTCTTCTCACCTGGGCGTGGGACAGGGTGACCTGGGCTTGCAGTTTCTCCACCTGCTTCTTTAGCTCTTCCTTCTCCTCATTCATGCGCTCCCGGTCACTACGCTCCCTCTGGAAGTCCTCCTCAAAGATCTTCACCTAAAGGGGAGGTAGAGGAGAAGGGAGAAGGGGGTGAGGGAGAAGGGACAGTTCTGAGTGGGGGCTCAGACCTGCTCAGACCCAGAATCCTGGGCCTCTGATAGGAGTCAGACATCAGAGGTGGTTTTACCCTGTCTTGAAAATGCCTATGGGGAGAGGAATAGGTGTACCTCTGGCCCCAACCCCAACTCCAGACAGAGTAGTTCTGGGTCCCTCGATCTTATATTTTGGGCTTCAACCTAGGGCTTTATTTGAAAAAAGGATCCATGGCTAAAAAACACAAAACTGGTCAACAGCCATCCAAACCAGTCCCATCCTTCCATTCTGCCAAGACCCACAAAGAGGTGGAGACCACAGAAACAGTCTGAGTGGAGGACTGGAGTTCCGGTCTCCTGGTGCCAAGAGCAGAGGGCCTATAGAACCCTCCCAAGGCTCTGGGGTGGGGACAGGCGCCCTGCCAGGGAAGGAGCAGGCGGGGCCCTGTCTCTGCAGTTTCACATCCTCACTGCAGATCAACAAGAAGCTGACCAGGCTCGGGACGATTTAGAAGGACCCGAAGCATGGCAGCAAATAGCACAGAAGCACGTGCGAGAACTAAAGCCTTCTCAACTTTCCTCACTCCTCTGTGTCCCTCAATGAGAAGGTCTGCATTTTATGTGTTTAAGCACCTTTCTAGTATTTAATTTCCCTTAAATAAAGTGACAGAGGACCCCAGCACAAAGCCGTGATCAGGCAGAAGTATCTAGCTAGAGTTTAACAACACAGTTTTGCCTTTACTGTATTTATTGCTTATAGTTACTTTCTAATTATGACAAATAATAAATGGCTTTCCCATTTGCAGGAGAAATCTGAAGTTCCTTTTTAAATATATTTATTGAGTTTATTAAAACATTTGCTTTCATGACACACACACACTATACATAAACAGGTAACTAATAAGGTTCTACTATACAGCACAGGGAACTCTACTCAATACTCCATAATGACCCATATGGGAAAAGACCTAAAAAAGAGTAGATATATGTATACGTATAACTGATTCACTTTTCTGTACAACAGAAATTAACAGAGCATAGTAAATCAAATATACTCCAATAACAGTTCATTTTTAAAACATACATTAAAAAAATTTTGCTTTCAAAATATTAGGGAAATAATAGCAGAGCTGGGGCACAGAAATGTTTAAATCATGACAGTGGTAGAGGAATGACCTAGATAGGGATACACTGCTGGCAAGGATAAACCTATACCAGTCAGGAGGCCTGGCCGATGGCCAGACAGTGGACTGCCAATTACAGCTTGCATGACTCAAGGTCCGTCCTAGGCCCTCAGGGATGCTCCAACTCCCACTAGGCACCAGCTACCTAACCTGTTCCCCTCAAACTCACCTGCTGTTTCAGCAATTCGTTCTGCGTGAGCAGCTCCTGTTTCCTTAGCAGGCCTCCAGCTCCTTCTGGGCTCCCAAATGCTGTTGGAGAGGACGGGGAGGCCTGAATGCTCAGTGCTTCCTCCAGGGCCTGGAACCAGGAAGAGAGGAGATGGGCCCGTCAGCAGAAGCCCCGGGAAGTCAGGTCCCATTGAAAGGGTCAGGCCCCACTGAAAGACCCTGATCATGATAAGGATAATAATAATAACCACTACTATTTAATAAATGTCATCTTATAGATGAACACTATACACACATCATTTTACTGAATCCTGTCCATAGTCCTATGGAAAAATTGTGACCTTCACCCTCATTTCACAGATGTGAAAACTGAGGTTCAGACACCTGAAGGGATTTGTCCAAAGTCAGACAGCTAGGAAGTGTCAAAGCAGGTATTCAAAGCCAGTATGTGCTCTTAACCAGCAGCCTAAACTGTGGTCTTCATGTAGAAGGGAGAAATCTCCCTTTCCCTGAGGATAAGTGGCTCAATCCTTAGCACCCAGATGTAGAAAGAACACGAAGTCCTTTGGAGGAAGAAGCTCAATCTCCTGGACCTGCCCAGAGATTCTCCAGCTTCCGTAACCTATTCCCACCAAGCTAACCCCTCCATCCCCAGGTCTTCTGTAGTTAGATTAGCCTGGATTTTAATTTTGATGTAATTAATATTTTACCTTTCCAACCCTGAAAATGGGCTGGAACATCACCAAATAACATTTTGAGATTTTTTTGTAAAAGCCCTGCTTTACTACCTTCACAGAATACTCTTCCTTGCATAAAGAGTGTGCTCACATTCTCTTGAAAGTTATTCATTAACTGGTTTTCTCCTTCCACCCTGTTAACATGTTGCTTGAGAACTTTGGAACACCTCTCAAGACTGGCCATCCTCATCACAACCTAGACTTTAGTGCCCTGGGCAGCAGGGCCTCTGCTGGCCATGTGACAGCACTGCCCACAGTGCCTCCCTGGACCCTGGGGCAACCTTGGCCAACTTGGACTCAGGCCCCTCTTTGTCTCCTTGACTCCCCCCAGCAACAAGAGGAAACTGCAGAGCCAAGAGTAAATTCAAGGGACTTTCCTGGTCCAGCAGCTGAGACTCCAAGCTCCCAATGCAGGGCGCCTGGGTTCGATCCCTAGTCAGGAAACTAGATCCCATATGCTGCAACTCAGAGTTCATACACCACAACTAAAGATCCCACATGCTGCAACTAGGATGTGGTGCAGACAAAGAAAACTTATGTACATATATTTAAAGCGTACATCAGACTGCTCGAGGGAAGGCTATGACTGCATCTCCGACCCCATCTGTCCCATTTTTCTGATGAGCAGACTAAAGTCGAGGGACAGGGAGAGCCTTGTGTTAGTCATCCTTACAAGTTTCTGTCCCCAGCTACACCACAGAAACCCAGACAGCAGTGATCCTGCCTGGGTGATCTCTACAACCAGCAACACATATAACATTCTGCCTGGACTTAGAGCCCCAAGTCCCCCAGCTTGGGACAGATCCTTCTTTTCACTGAGAACAAGCCCCAAGGCCGCACATTTGGCATCATCAATGCTTACCCAACACCAAAACCAAGCAGAAAGAATCACTCAAGTAGGGCTGGGACCCAAGGAATACAAACTCACAATAGAGTCTACTGTAAGCCGAAAGAGCAGGCAGACAGAACAGGAGGAAAACCTGAGCCTTTGAGAAAGTTTCCTTTCAAAGCCTCTCCATCAGCTCACTCCTTTAACCCCTGCACTAGAAGGTGGGCAGGGCTAGCATGATTCCAGCCAGGGTTCAGATGGCAAAACTGAGACCCGGATAGGTTACAGGGGCTATAACTGGGACTAGAACCATCCCCCAGCCCAGCCCACTGCCCCTCACCTTGGCTCAGAGCAGAGGGGTCCCTTTACCTGGGCGCCCCTAGCCCCAGCCCCATCCCTGCCCCAGGCCGCATCTCCCTGGATCCCGCTTCTCAAGGGCAGGAACTCAGGCCAGAGCTCATCCACTCCCTTCAGTGAGTTTTTCCCGAACACATGCTTGGTGCCAGGCGCTGGGGGTATGTGCCCTGGTGAAGACAACATACCTCCCAACACTGGATGGAAGGACGGACTGTCAGTAAGTAATCACAAGAAAATGCCAGAAGGGTTTGAAAGAAGCTGCTGGTGCTTTAGCCATAGAACAGGGAAACTCAAAGGAGACTTGGGAAGGCCTTCCTGGGAAGCAATGTTAGAGCTAAGCCGGGCACTCAGCGTGCGGGGAGCGGGGCAGAGGCAGTAGAAACCCCGGGGCTGCACCCAGGCCCTCAGCACCCTTACCCTGACCCAGGAGTCACCCCCCCTGAGCTGAGGGTTGGGGGTACTGGCCATGGGGCGGGCTCTGCAGCAGGGCTCAGGGAAGCCCTGCCCCTCCCCAGACCTTGACCACACCCACCTTGTTGAGCCGCTGGATTTCCTTTTCCTGGTACTCCCGCTGCCGGGTGAGGGGGCTCAGCTGGTCCTGCAGGTACTTGACCTTCTGGCGCAGCTCCTTGGCCTCTGCGGTCAGGTGCTCCCTGTCGGTCTGCAGGGGACACGGGTCTGGTGTGCATGGAGTCTCTGCAGGAGTCCCGGACCCCACGATTGCCTGCCTCGTCCCCGGGTGACCGCACCTCCCCGCCTCGCTCTCACTCCGCAGCCCCACGATGCTCATGCACAACGCCCTGTGCAAGGCACCCGCCTGAGAGTAGTAATGTCCACATGGTCCTGCCCTCAAGGAAAGGGCGGCCCAACTAAGTGGAAGGCCCCGGGTTCCATCACCACCTCCTCCAACAGCGAGGTGAGCCCTTGGGCATTGTCACAGCCTTCTCTGGTCTAAGCTCATCTATCTGCCATGGATAAGGGGTTCCTAACAGGAGTCACAGATGGGCTTCAGGAGATCTGTGAGCCCCCACAACCAGTGCAAAATTTTGACTGCAATTTAGAGAGAGAAAAGTCACAATTTCTACCAGGCTCACACAGGGCTCTTCTACGATGCACAGAAAGTGATGTCACTGAAAGTCTCCAAAGGACCTCTCAGTTCTTACAGTCTCTAGGTCTAGTGGAGAAAAGACCCTCAGAGAGATAAACACAGCATGAGGCGGAAAGGGGTCCCCCAAAGAGAAACAAAGTCCTATGAGATTAAAGAAAGAACACTCCTGCCGAAAAAAAACTGGGGAAAGCTTCAAGGTGGAAGCCCCGCTTCCATAGGTACTATGGAACAACCCAGGTTCTTTACTGCTAATAGTCACAGCTGGAAAGACCCTCAGAGAGCATCAAGTCCTAGCCCCTTTATAGGACTATCCAGAGGTGACTTATCCAAGACCACACAGTGAGCTAGAGCTAGACAAGAATCCAGGTCTCCTAATTCTGGTGTTCTCTGTCCCCTTGCAAGCCAAAGGGAAGGTTTAAAATAGAAGAGGGCAGTATGGTACAAGGGCCAGGCATACCCACACGAAACTATTTCTGTGTGTTTATGTGTGCTAAGAGGCCTGGAGAGATACACCCAAATGGAAACAGTGATGACCACTTGGGAGAGCCTGGAACTGGGGGATGGGGTGGTAAGGAGAGATGGTCTGGGGAAACTCCCAACTGTAACTGTTGTGTGAACATGTCAATATTCTACAAACTAGCTGGTGAGATGCTTTCAGCTGGAGATGACAGACAGCAGCCTTGGCTGGATCTTGTGGGAGTTGTTACAGGCTCCCATGTAAGAGGCTCTGGTCTGCACGGCCTCTATGGCTCCGTGTTCCTATCCACGGGGCCACGCTTTGTTCTGAAATTCCACCTTTCCCCCAGCTGACCGGGGAGAGCGTCAGGAATTTAGCCCACCCACTGATGGGAGCCAGGGCCAGGCTGACTGCCCCAGCTGTGACTGTGCTCTCACGAGAAAAGACTGGCAGTGTCCCCTGTAACACACATCCCCAGGGAAGGGGCGGTCACCAGGGCAGGCTGACTGCTTGGAGAAGGCCCCTGCTGATGGGAGGGAACTCTGAAATGCAAACCATGTTGGACATGGCCATTTCTAAGTCAGGCAAAAGCAGCCTCTGCCTCGTTCTCATGAAGGTGAACACATGGTAACACAAAATCTCCGGAGAGCCTGAGGGTCAAATGGCCTTTCCCCTTGAAGCTGCCCCAGGATCAGGGCCTCGGCCGGCGTCAGTCACACACACACGGCAGGCCAGATGCTCCTTCAGGGACCTGTTCCTGCTCCCCCGCCACACCCCCGAATGAATCTGACCTCCCTTCATGTTCTCCCCCTGTAACTGCTCCTGTGTTGCACTTAGCACACATCTACTCATTTACTTCTGTCATTAGATGTTCTATGTCTCTTCCCCCAGGGGCGGGGGTGGCCGTTCACTGCTGACCCCGTGTACCCAGCGCTGTGCCTAGTGCATCACTGTTGAACAGTGACCGGATGAAGGACCAAAGGAAGCTCTGTCTAACGCTGGAGCCCCTCCCTGACAACAGCCATCACCACTGTGCAGGTTCCACAGCACCCGCCCCCATCAAGTGTACTAGAGCTGGTCTGGGGAATCTTTTCACATTTTGTGCTTCCCTGTACAGTTCCCTAGACCATGAGACTTTCAATTAACAAAAAGCTCTCCATATGAAAAAAGAAAAAAATGAAAAACATACCTAATCCAACCTCAATTTTCAGGTGGGAAACTGAAGCAGAAGGCAGGAAAGCGCTTTTGCCTCAGGCCACACAGGCCTTGAGTCCCTGAGTCAGAGAGGGAACTGGGTCTCCCGACCACCACCCCCAGCTCCCAGCTGATGGGGAGGAGAGAGCAGGCCTCCAGAACTGAGTCTTCGAGACCCACAGTGACACTTGCCTCCTCCATTTCTATCTTGGACTTGGCCAGGAGCAGCTTGCGGTCAAAGTCGCGCTGCTTCTGCTCCTGCTCGGCCTCCAGGTCGGTCACCTGCTTCTGCAGGTCTGCCAGCTTCTGTCGCAACTCCGTTATCTGGGTTCAGGGGCAGAGAGAGGGAGTGTGTGAGGGCCGGGGTGGACACCCACCGTTCAAGGCTGCGGCGAGGGAAGCAGCATGCGCGCCGCTGAGGATGCCCTGAGAGCCCCGCGGAGAAGCAGGGGTGCGGCCTGGAGTTCCCATCACCCTCACAATACCTTCTGCTCATACTGCTGCTTCATGGACCGGAAATGCTGGTCCCATTGCTTGTTCACTTCCAGCAGCTGCGGGGGAGAGACTGGGGTTAGCAGGAGATAAGCAGAGGAGGACCAAAGACAGCCAATGCCATTACCACCAGCTTTGCAGGCACATCGTGCAGCACGTGTGGGTGGTGGGTCCACACGGTGCCTTGATCCCGTGCTTCTCACAACCTTTCCTCAGGTGAGTCACCTTTATCAACCACCACATTTTGCCCTCACCAGGAAAGCAAGACTAACACCAAGACACAGAAACAGTACATAATTCTGGTAAAGAATATGGGACCCACACCCATGCAGAAGGGCAATTCAGGACTATGTATTAACTTCAAGTTCTCTTTAACCAAATAATTCCACTCTGAAAGATGGTAACCAAAAGAAGCACTTGCACAAATGTAAAAAATATGTGGAATAGTGATCATCTCAACAATGTTTATACTACAAAAAGATCGAGGCAAACTTGAGCACTGGAAATAGGTTAAGAAAATGACAGAATTAAACAGAAAACGGAGCACTACACAGCTACTCAGAAAGTTGGGCGCCTCATACATTGAATCTGCTCTGAGATGACACTAATTACTTGACATAATTTTGATGTATCGACAATTCTTCAGTGAAGGAAAACAACCCAACACCATTAAATTAATAAAACAATGGAAAGGGCATCCTTTCCAATTCCAACAACATTAAAATATGATAAAAAGTACTCAGAATTAAAGAATCACAGAGTATGCTTTTATATACAAATATAATAAATACCCTCAAAGATACAGCTAATTTTATGAAAAGAAAGGAAAAAAGCAATCTGCAATGTGGTATTTTTAATATTTTTACAAATGTCATACATTAGTAAGTACACAGACAAAATTCAGGAATATGCAAAGAACTGTAATCAACTGTGGTCATTTCCAGGAGGTGAGATGCTACATCTTTTTATAATGAATATTTTTTATAGTATCTTTGTAATAAAAAAAAATCTTACAGCAATACAGAAAGAAAACTAACATGAATATGCACCTAAACAAAAGACCAACGGAGCCTAACTTTCAAATGTGCTGGAGGACCAGGGAGGGCAGAAAGCTCAAGGATTGAGACAGGGCCTGCGCTGTGTGGAGGGGAGGGGGCTTGGTTAATGGAGAAATTAGGTTCCCACCTCTGGTCCAGAAACATCAAGGGAGGAATATGCATGAGACACAAGGGAAGAGCCTCAATTTCTGGAGACTCTCGGCTGATTGGAGCAGTGCTACAGGCACGTATGGGGTCTCTCCTGTGACAGACCCTTCCTGAACCAGCTGCGTGGTAACAGCTGAACCCCAGGCTCCCCTTTCCTGATGCTACATTTGCCTCCTATCACAACCTTTCACCACCATTCAGGGTTTGCCACAAGAGACTTTCTAAACTCCCCCCTCAACAATTATAGGCCATGCCCCGAATGCCATGTCCTCAGAGTGACTCCTATGGGCAGGGGGACTGATCAGGAGACAAGAGCCCAGGGCAAGGCAGCATGTCTTATCCTTGGGCAGGTGGTTCAGTGGTCACCATGACAACTCAGAAACCAGTCAGAGCCAGGGGCCAGGAAGGGCCTTTGCCCTGCAGGTCCCGGAAGGGGGAAAGGATCTTCCCCGGCCCCCCCACCGCCTCCAGCCACCTACCTCTGCGCGCTGCTGTTCCAGCAGCCTCACCTTCTTCTCAGCCGCACCCAGGGCCCCCAGCTCTGGGGTTTTACCTGTCGTCACACCAGCCTGAGGAGGAACACAGAGGGGCCTTCAGCAGGGCCTCAGGCAGCACTTCTCTCACCCATTCAGTGCTCCTCCAAGGCCACTCACCCCTGAGACCCAGCCCCCAGTCTCCTGCCTCTCTACCCTCTCACCCACCAGTCCCAGCCATAATTGAGCGTCTTAGGGACGTCCACACAGAACATTATTCCCCTTCACTGATCCTCAGTGGCTCCGAGGCCCTTCTTACCCCTGCCCCCTCCCCACAGACACTTCTTTCCCTGTTCAGGCTCTATCTCTATGGCACTGCTGACTGCTCTCCCCTCCTCCACACATCAGCCAAAAGTCCTCTGAAGGCAAGAGTTACCTACTTTAAGAAATATTTTATAAAGTGTTTATTTTTAAAATGTTTTATTAAAAGATATACAAATAAAGACATGTGTGCATGTGTGATCAGTACATGTATTTCCTTGCTCTGGCCTCTGAGGGGGCCTAAAGCAGTGTCACTCAGGTAACAATGAGCACAGATCTTGGTGTCTAAATAGCATTCTCCAACAAAAAGAAACAGGGCTCCTTGGAGACGTGGTTAATTTCATGGCTGGGGCAGGGAAGATATAAGGTGAGTATGGAGCAACTTGTGATGCTATAGAAAGTAAGGAAGTGTTCAATCATCATCATCAGAAGAAAGGCATGTCAAATGGGCATAGGAGACAACTTGAAAGAACTTCCTATGACCAAAGCAGGAAGAACTTGAACAAGAAAATAAATCACGATGGTGTTGGGCTATAAGCCAAACGATAAAATATCCTTGAGTCCATATTAATAGAAACAGATGAATAAAAAAATAAGTGGGGGAGAAGGGACAAGAAGAATTCCAATTAGTAAACAGAGAAAGAATGAGGGAAATCCAAAATCACCATTAGAAGGCTGTAGTGATAATCACGGCAGTCAAGATCTGCCAGTGTTTATTAAAATAAGTATAAAGAGAAACAGCGCATCTGCAGTCTCAAGCACATCCTCGAAAATAAATACTTATTAATTACAAAAAAAAATTAGTCCCTTTATTATGGAGAAACCTGACAGACAGACCCTTAGCCAAATGATCAAGATTGGGTGTAAATGGACATACTGACATCACATACCCTTGACGTGTTACAAGATGTCACTCCTGTGGTCTTCTTGTCCAAATCCACAGCATCAGTCTAATTATAAAAAAACACCAGAGGAACCCGAATTGAGGGACATTCTACAAAACAGCTGAAAGCCGTAAGCTCATGAAAGACAAGAACCACTGGAGCTGTCACAGGCAGAGACTAAAGAGACGGTACAACTAAATGCAATGTGGGATCCTGGATTTAATCCTGGTACAGAAAAAGGGCATGAATGAGAAACAGGTGAAATCTGAACCAAGTCTGTAGTTTACTTAATAGTATCGTGGCAATGGTCATTTCCTGGTGTTGATCATTGAACCATGGTTACGTAAGATGTCAAGGCAATCGGGAGATGGGCACTCTCCGCACTATTCTGCTACTCTTCTACACATCTACAGTTATACTAAAATAAAAAGTTTAAAAAATTTTTTAAAATATGAAGCGTTGAGGTGAAACAGCAGAAGGATGTCATCAATTCAGAAACTGAACACCAAAAAAAAGGAAAGAAAAGAAACTGATCACCAGTTCTACCTCTAAGGACCTGAATGATGCAGGCCACGGTCCACACCCTCAGTACAAGATTAAATAGGACAGGCCCCAACCTGACATCCTGCAGGCCTGACAGCATTTGTCCTGGAGTCACTGCCCACATTCTCTCCATTCCTTGCCTTCCCACTCCCCCGCACCACACAAACACACACTCCCCTGTGACTTGGCCGGGTCAGGCTGAATGAACTTGTGAGGCTCAAGCGCCCCTGCAGGCGTAAGTACACCACAGAACCCAGAAGTAAGGGGAGAGGGCTGCCCCTAGAAGCCTGATGTCTCCTGCAGGGGAGCTGTGCTTAACATTACTGGGGAAGGAGGAAGAGGCGGTGCTCCTGGAGGTGCACCCTTAAGCTCCACAGAGAAGAGTGAGTGAGTGTCAATGAAAGTCGCTCAGTCATGTCTGACTCTTTGCGACCCCATGGACTGGCCTCCAGGCCAGAATACTGTGTGGGTCCCCTCCTCCAGGGGATCTTCCCAACCCAGGGATCAAACCCAGGTCTCCGGCATTGCAGGTGGATTCTTTACTAGATGAGACACCAGGGAAGCCCCTGTCCACAGAGAAGAGAAACCAAGCCTGTCATTAAAAGTGACAGTCAATGTTCAGTTTACCACTTGCTAAGTGCTAAACCTACTTCACAGGCATCACATCACTGAACTGTCCAATCACCCTCTGAGGTAGGTGCTATTATCTCCATCTCACAGAGGAGGAAACTGAGGTCAGAGAGTTCATGTAGCCTGTCCAAGGTGGCAGCGCTGACAAGAGGTGGGTTGAGCCTGCATTTAACCCACACGTAACTGCAAGGCACAGGCTTCACCATCACCTGCAATGCAAGCCTCTTATGCGACCTTCCTCCCGGGCAAGGCAGTAAGAGCATCTGGCCTTTCCAGACACCAGTGATGTCAAGGGCTTTGGAAAAGTGAAGAGGGCTGCCCATATACCACCGTGAATCCAGAGGAGATCAGGAAAATCCATAAGGCACTTCCACAAGAGGGCAGACGAGGCAGGCCCTGATGTGAGGTGTAAATAGAAGAAAGAGTGGCTTCATGAGCTGCGAATCAGAAGGCTGATCATCAGCATGTCGTCCTGTCACCCCAGGTCTGCCTGACAACAGCAGGTGGATACAGGAATCTGGACAAGGTGATGTCATACGGCCTCTCCAAACCTACTGCCATAAACAGCCATGGCAGTCTCATGAAGTAAGAGTCCCCGCCCTGCCTCCCTGACATGTAGAGAGGAAGCCAAACCAGATAATGAATTTGCAAATCCTGGGTAAACTCTACCTTGTCATATAGTAATAAGGAATTAAGTTATTAGGATAATTATTGCTATTACACAAGTGTGGAGCTTGTTAAAGACACTGATGGCTGTGCAGTCATTAAACCTCATTAAAGAGGAAAAATATGTCAGTAAAAAGCTGGGACTCAGCTCTACAGGAAGACACAGACCAGGCGAGGGGCCAGCCAGCTCCCATGCAGGAACTGGATGCAAGCCAGCACTGGGAGCAGCACTGGGGAGGAGGCAAGGGGCCCAGGGCATTTGCAGGCCTTGCTGAGTCCACACCCTCTTCTCTGCATGTCAGAGGCTCCCAGAGCATGACCACAGGAGCTAACACAGTCCCCTCAGGGGCTCTCTCAGGCTAACATCCTAATTCCACTAGGAGTATTTGAGACATTAAACCAATTCTGGGAGCCACCCTGTAAGAGAGACTGACAAACTGGAATGAGTTAGGGGAGATGCCCAGACAGCACAAATGACTCGCCACCGCCTTTATGAGCAATGACTGAAGGAGCTGCAGCTATTCGGCCTGGAGAAGGTGTGGGGACCCCACAGAGCCATGGTCATAGCCCACAGGCTAAGTGTGTGTTCCAGGGAATGGGACGCTCCCTGTAGCTGGCAGCAGAATATGGGCTGAGAAGTGGAAGCGCCAGGGAGGTGGACTGTCAGAACAAGCCAAGGAAATGCTCTCTAACAACTAGAACCTTCCAGCAGTGGGACTGGCTCACTGCCCCGGAGGCTGGGCACTGGCCATCCGGATCTGGGGAAGGAGTTTCTGACCACATACCTGCTGCAGTGTCGCCGCCCCCTTCTTGCCTGCGCCTTCCATCTTTGGTGAGCCTGGCCGCCCAGAGGTACCATCTTTACTGCTGCTCATCAACAACTTCCTAAGTTCCAGGTTTTCCTCCCTGGGTTGGAGGCAAACAGAAATGTCATACTGCCGGCCCCGGGTAGAGGCGACAGGGGGTCTCAGACCTCTTACTCGTCTGAATTGCAGCTGAGTCCTGGGGAGTAAGGAGAGTCCCTGAGACCTGCCCTCAGGTAGAACCACAAATGGCATCCTCACGCCACTCTGCACGACCTCTCTGGAATTCTCTGATCTTCACCAACAATCCATCCCCAACTATGGGATGTCTGTATACATGAGATCTTCAGGATACATCCACACTGCATTAAATAACCATGGATTGGGACGTCCCTGGTGGTCCAGTGGTTAAGATTCCAGGCTTCCACTGGGGGGTGTGGGCTTGATCCCTGGTCAAGGAACTTAAGATCCTGCATGCTGCATGGTGCAGCCAAATAAAGAAATAACCCTGGTTCACACTCTCTAAGAAAGTTCCACCCTTTCCAATTATCCTCAGACATCCTGCAAGGGGGTAAGTCTCAGTTTGGTGCTCATAGGTCCTGTGTGCCTCTCTAGCGCTTGCAAGTGTCCTGTGTTGACTGAGAAAGAGCAGCCTTCAAGGCTCAGAGCCTTCAGTGGGCAATTCACCAGAATTAATCATCTTTCCATTTTTGTTGTATTTATTGTTGGAGGCATCTTCTATTTATTCCAAGTAATGCTGTTTTCCAGTTACTCTAGTGCAAGTTTTCTTTGTAATAATCTTCAGTAAAAACATGATGCAAATAAAATCCTTAAGTAAATAATAAAGTAGGTGATAAAAGATACAAGATAAATGGTGATGTGGATTCATGTATGGCTGAAATATGGAAAATATTTCTTCATATTCTGTTTGCCAACTGGGTTCCATATGAAAATAGCCTCAGTTTCCCTCCGCAGGGTGAGGGGTTTGGCACACGTGATCTCAAAGGGCTGAGCTCTGATGGTCAAGACCAGTGTTTCTCTGGGGTGATCCTGGACACACTTATACTGTAACCACAGAAAACGTGTTTATGGGCCCACTGGAAAATGCAGACACCTAGGTCTCGCCCCAGGCCCACTGAATCAGAATCTCAGCACAGGATAGAGGGTGGAGAGTGCAAACTTGCAATGCCTTTCCTGACCCTCAGTGATTCTGAGGTACAACTAAGTCTGAGACCAAGAGGCAGCCCGGAAGAGCATTCCCTGACGGTTCTGCAGGACAGGATGGTGACCAGCAGAGGGCAGCAAAGTCCAGCGCTCCATCTCCAGCAGCCAGTGAGCGAGCTGTTGCTAGCAGGCAGGTTCCCAAGGAAGGAGTGCACTTCCATCCTGAACTTCTGAAGCTCTGAAGGCACTTTATACACAAACACTCCACGGTATTAAATGGACCAGAGAGGAAATACTCGAGGAGAAGGACCGAGAGACCTGACATCCAAAGCAGAGCTGGGCACAGGGCCCAGCGCTCTCAACCCAGGAATCAGTGCCACACACCACTGCCTTCCTCTTGCCCACCTGGCTACTCACGCCTTCACTGCGGAGCCTGGACTTACCGCAGCCTCTCAGCAGCCTGATCCCGCTGTTCCAGGCCCTTATCAAGCTTGGACTTCAGGGCCTCATTCTCTTTCCGAAGCTGCTCACAGAGCGTCTGCAAGGCAGAGAGAGGGAGATGGGGGCAAAGTAAGGGAAGGAGTGCACCCCAAATGCAGAATGATGCTGGAGGATGGGGGAGGCGCTATAACCACACCACGTCCCAACACGATATCCCCATTGCATGGCCTCACCCAATTCCTCTTGGGACAGCAGGAGTCAAGCCAAAGTCCCACTCAAGCTCCTCTCTGCATCAGCTCCCTCAGGAGCCAGCCATGAGGAGGCCTGACCAAGAGTCAGCCACAAGGCCTTCTGGTCCTCCAAGGTCATCCCTCCTCCTCTGTTCCCACAGCCCAAAATGCTGTTCCACACCAGCTGTCCCCTGGCTGACTTCTACTCCTGCTTCCAGTCTTAGCCTAAATGTCAAACCTCCTCCGAGAAGTCCTCTCCGATTCCCACATCTCAGGTAAACCAGGTCACCTCCATTATCCTTGCCCACAGGTCCCTGCTCTCACCTTCCTGGTACCTGTGACAATTACAGCTACAGAATCATCAGTGTCATTACTTTCTTTGTATCCACCCACCCCACCCCCTACTAGTCTACAAGCTTCCAGAAGGCTGGGATCCCCTCACCACTCTCTTGTCCCCTGCAGGACCCCCACCTAGCCCAGCATCCAGCACAGCTCAACACTTAATTTCACTGAAGGAACATACAACTGAATGACTGAAGTGCCAAATGAATGAAGGACCATGAAGACCTGAGTCCTAAGAGGCCTAGAGCTTAGGCGATTTGGAGAATGAATGAGGCATCGAAGCGGGGGTGGTCATGAGGTTGTCAGCTGGCAAGTGGGAAGATAGGGTATCTGGTCAAGATGTCACCAATTCCCAGTGTAGCTCAGGATTTCCTCACTTCTGAGGCACAATTCCCTCCCTTACAAAGCGGGGCAACTACTCCTCTCCTGCCTCCCTTATAAGGCTTCTATGAGGACCTACAAGGCCGGGAGAACATAAGGGCCTTGTCAGCTGCCATGCCCTTGATAACCTTTGAGGATGCGTGTCTCAAGTGCTGTGAGGTGGGGGACATGGAAGATGGGCAGCCAGATTCAGGGCCTCACAGATGGAAGAAAGGGAGTGGCTAACTAGTAACAGAGATGTACCAGGTCAGGACTAAACGACTCAATCTTTCAACAAATATCTAGTGAGCACCTAACCTGGGACCCATACACAGTGGGGTGCTCTTCCACTCACTGCCTCAGTGGAGCCTCACAGCTTTCCCAAAGCTACACAATTCAGCTCACTTTTTAATGCTGGCCAGGGAATTCCCTGGTGGCCCAGTGGTTAGGACTTGGCGCTTCCACTGCCATGGCCCAAGGTTCAATCCCTGGTTGGAGAGTTAAAATCCTGCAAGCTGAGGGGTATAGCCAAACGTAGGCTCTCTCTCTGTCTCTCTTTAGTCCCTAAGTCGTGTCCGACTCTTGCGACCCCATGGACTATAGCCTGACAGGCTCTTCTGTGCATGGGATTCTTCAGGCAAGAACACTAGAGTGGGCTGCCATTTCTTTCTCCAAAACGTAGGCTAGTACAGATAAAAAAATGTGCATAAGGTTGCATAGCTCTTAAGAATCACCGCTGGGATTAAACACCATCTGGCAGACCCTAAATGGTACCTCTTTCCCCTGTGATGAAAGAGCAGAGAAGGGAGGTAGCACTCTGTGAGGCAGGCTGGAGGCAGAAACAGTGAGTGATATTCACTGGACCTTTCACCCACTCCCTCCTGTTTCCCAGGCTTGTTGTGATCATATGACCAGTTGTGGCCAATGAAAGCTGAGTGCAAGTGACAAGTGTCACCTCTGGGCTGGCTCATGCACAATTCTCTGGTCTCTTTTTCCCTGTGGCTGCCTCATATTCCAAAGGGCACAAGACAGTGGGGGCCTTGTTTCTGCCACAAAGCAGAAACAAGCCCCTTCCACACAGAACACGAGGAAAAATGTTTAGAGTATGCAGGGAGATTTCAGAGCTGCTTGTTTCCACAGCAAAATCCAGCCCTCTCTGACACCCTGGAACTCAAGAGTGATCAGACATGAAGGAACAGAAAACCATTATGACTGACTGCAATGTCCAGCAGAGGCCTCATGCCATGCCTGGCCTTAGAAATGCTGAGGGAACCAAGAAACAAATCAATGAAAGAATGACAAGGGACTGGATTAATCTACCTCCACCCACAGGCTGGGAAAATACACAGGATGCCACGGCCCTGGGTGGGGCCTCCAGAGAACAGAACGTCCTGCTTTGGGCACTAAGAGAAGGCCAGGACAAGGCCTCACATGCTATCCTTCTGGGCAAGAGGCAAATACCCTGGGCACAAAGCAGATGAATGAGAGAGGTCATCACAAAGGTCACTATCTTCCATCAAAGTGGCTAAGAGAGCTAATGAGTGAGTCCATTTGTTCATTCATTCATTCATTTACCAAATGCGCAGTCCGCACCTATGAAGTGCCAGACACTGGCAGTGGTGGACATGTCAGACAAGGCACCTGCCCCTTTTGTGAGGCCTACATTCTAGCAGGGAGCATAAGGAAAAAAACAAATACAAAAAAAGCACTTAATAAAATTATTACAAACTATGGTAAGAGCTAAGAAGGAAACAAATAGGAACCTGATAGGAAAATAAGGGGTGAGACTTCCTGGAGGCCCAGTGAGTAAGACTCTGTGCTTCCAATGCAGGGGGCATGGGTTCGATAACTGGTTGGGGAACTAAGATCCTGCATGCCGCACAGCATGGCCAAAAAAAAAAAATCTGAAAAAGAATATGTGTGTGTGTGTGTGTGTGTGACAATCACTCTGCTGTATGCCTTGCCTAGGAAGGAAATCTAACTTCATTCTCACAGCACAGGGAGGGTTATGAAGGGGAAGCCTCCTCCACTGGGGAGGCAGGCTGGAACGGTAGTTAAGAGCATGGACTTTGGAATAAGACTTAGAGATTCAAATTCTAGCTGCACCATCTACTAACTGGGGAACCTTAGGCAGGGAAAAAAAAAAATCACCTCTCGAGGGCTGTGGCCCCCGCTGTGAAGTGGGGATAATGATGCTCCTGCCTCAGGGGGCAGGGCAGTAACATGCAAGGGGCCAGCCCCTGTCCCCTCCCTGTCCACACCTGTATGCGAAGAACAAAGACAAGGATGCTGCCAACCTGGTGCATGCACTGCTTCCAGAGTCACCCCAACCATGAAATTTGCATCACCCACCCCACCATTTCCCAATTTCCTTCCTCATCCCTTCCCACAAGTTCCTTACCCCACTCACCACCTTGAACAAGAAGCCCGAGACGGGTCCCCAACCACACCCTTGGAAATCCCTGTGGTCCCCTGGACCCCTCAGAAGAGCTGGAGGAAGTGGAAGGGGAAACCACACGGCCAATCCCGGGCCACCCGCCCTGGGCCTGGCCTCACCTGTAGGATGGAGGTACGCTGCTCGTTCTTGTGCACCTTGGAGGCCAGCCGGTTGAACTCGAGGGCCATGCGGCCCAGATGCGTGAAGAGCTGGCTGTGGTCGGGCTCCTCGGCGCACACGCTCAGGGTGGTCTCCAGGCGCTGCAGGTGCAGCATCAGGTTGCTGTCCTCCTGGGGCAGGGGGCCCAGCTCCTGGGGGTGGAGGGTGGGGGCAGACCGCTCTTCAGCACAGCCTGAGCAGGTCTCGCCAGCCTTTCTCCCTCTGCTTCCCCATTCCTCATGACTCAGTTTCCCCCTCTGATCCCAGCTCAGCCTGGGGAAATTCTCCAATTACCCAGGTTCCCTGTCTGGGGCTGACTCACAGTGCAGGCCCCAGGACTCCCAGGCCACTGGCTGTCTCACCAGTAGTGGAGCCGCCTTCCTCCCACACTCCGGGCCTTGCCGAGGGCCTCTGGGTCAGTCACGTGTTTATGGGGCCTCAGAATCCTCATCTACTGCACACACACACACACTTTCTTCCCTTCCGCCCCACAGGGTTCCCCTGCAGGTGAACTGATACAGGAAAGCGGCAAGCCCAGGAAAAAATATCAGTCTACCTACAGCGCTGCTTCTTCCACTCATCAAGGCTCGGCCCTCAGACATCGAAACCGTCTATCATGTCTGTTCCCGTGTCTTCTGGGGGATGGTCCAAGCGTTCACCAACTTCTCAAAGGACCCAAGACTCAAGACACACTAAGACACATAGCTCTAGAACTTCCCTGGTGGTCCAGTGGTTAGGAGTCCGTCTGCCTACAGAGGACGCAGGTTTGGTCCCTGGTCCGGGAAGATCCCACACATTGCAGGGCAACTAAATCCATGTTCCACAACTACTGAGCCCGCGCTCTAGAACCCACGAGCCGCATCTATGGAAGACTGCATGCTTAGAGCCCATGCTCTGCAACGAGAAGCTACAGCAATAAGGAGTCTGTGAGCCACAAAAAGCGCTTAGTTCCTGCTAACCACAACTAGAGAAAGCCCGTGTGCAGCAATGAAGACCCAGCACAGCCAAAAATAATTCATTAATTTAAAAAAGAAAGAATCATAGCTCTATATAGTTCAAAGATACCCAGTCTAGTAGAGAATTAAGATAGGAAGCAAACCATGGGCAAGATAGCCCAGTCTCGGAACCTGTCTCTCTCTCTCCTCTGTCTAGAAGCACAGACAGTGCCTTAGCTATGCCAAACACCATGTCCAAGGATCCACAGGGGTACCTGACAGCTGACCACCTTAAGCCCCTAGCTCCTCAGCCAGGTACCTGAGTGCCCACCTTCCCCTGCCTGAGCCCCCAGGCCCCATGTCTCCTCAGCCTTCATTCCCCTGGTGTCCCCTCTGTTTATCCTTCCTGGCTCTGCCTGCCTGTGAGCGGCTCTAGCAGGCCCTCCATCATTCTGATGCAAGTCACAGGATGTCAGAGCTACATGAAGCCTCAAGTTTCGGGTCTAGAAACCAAAGTGTGGGGAGAAGGTGGCTGCCCAAAGTTGCCCTGTGAATCAGTGGCAGAGCCAGGGCCAGACCCTGGGCTTCCCCATGCTCCATCCGTGGTGACTTCCCTCGTCTGAACTCCGCAGCAGTGGAAATGCCCTGAAGGCCATCGCACGGTGTCCAGTGAATGGCTCCGTAACACTGTCAGCACCTTATTCTAACAGGTGCTGCTGCCCCTTCAATTCTGCCTTCATCCCCCCACGGCCTCTTTCCACACAGGGTCTGAGGCAGCCAATGGTGCTCTTTTTAAAGCTGGTGGCCTGTGTCATCTCTCTGACCTTTCCGACTGGCCTGCAAGCTCCCAGAGGACAGGGAGGCTGTCTTGTCTTTGCTCAGCACAGACTAAGCTCATGGTGGTGTGAAGGATGAACCTACTGATGAGATGAAGTTCAGGGTCATACAGTGAAATGCTTTCAGAGCAGGCAGCGGCGGGTGGGGAATCATGCCTCCTTGGCCAGCTTCTCAGAACCCTCAGGGACACAACAGGACCAAGGGCAGACATTCCCAGGGGAGGAAACACAGAACCTTCCTGATACCCAGAGCTGCCCCATGTCCCCAAAGCCTCTCCACTGGAAGCTGCGTGACAGCCTGATGGAGACCTCACCCTGGGGACTGACTCACATAAGAGACAATCAGTGAACTAAAGAGCAACCTTTTTGTATCCTGCCTTGCTAATTCAATATTTTTAATTTTTATATGTTAATGTATTTTTTGGCTTTTAACTTGAAATTGTAACCTTTTAATCAACTGCTCATAGCTTAAAGAGTCAAATTGTTCTCCAAGGTTTGCAATGGGAACCAGTAGTTTCTGCCTCACTCCCCTCCTCTCCCCAGTTCCCACTTCCCAAAGCCTTTCACTTTAAAGAACAACATTCGTGCCCCAAATAAGGCAGGGGAAACCGAGGCATCAGTGAAGGGTTAGACGACCTACTGTCTGTATAACAATAAAAAAAATCTCCAAGGGATGAGGGAGACAGAAGGAGAGGGTAGGATGTGGAAGATTTCTGAAGAATGTTCCATGCCTTCCTCAATGGTTCTCCAGTAAGTCTGCCATTTTAAGAGAGAGCAGGGTGACACAGTTGGAATAAAAGCAGCAAAGGTAAAGTGGGGACCGGGTGGACACCTCAGAGCTGGTGGACTGTGTATGTTTTTGTGTGTGTGAGCGCAAGGTTTAACTTCCTACATACATGCCCCAAAGGGGAGTCTGGGAGAACCCAAGAGCCTGCACAGAATGCCAATCACCTGACTCAAGCTGCTCTGGGTTCTTCTGACCCTTTCTACTCCACCCGGGCTACGAGCCCACAGGCCCAAAGGCTGAGTCATAGTGTGCAGAGGTGCTGGGTGCCTGGTGGAGGCAGCGGGGCTGGCAACGTGCCTGGACTTTCACAATGGTCGGTACTCGTGTGGCCCACCGGGAAGTCACCAGTCACGGATTTGCATTTGTGAGCGAGAAACACACACCCCCCGCCCCCCACCCCCCGGCGCTGGCCCCTCGAGCCTATGCCAAGTGACTCCGAGGTGCCCAGGGGATGTGAGCGTGTCCTGTGCCTCTCACCCGGGGCCAGGTGACTGAAACAGAGAGGAGATGGGGGATGTGCCCAGGGACCTGCCGTCCACTCACCATCGTATTTCTGGTGTGGCCGCTGCTCTCCGGTGAAGAAGGCCCCTCGGCGGGGACCAGTTCAAATTCAGAGGAGGTGTTCTGTGCAGAAAAAAGGAGTCAGGGGACACCTGGGAGAAAACCCCTCGCCCATCCTCTATGGACCCTATAGCTGAGAGTGTGGAGGGGGCACAGAAGGGAGGAACCAAAAATCCCTTCTCACATCCAAGTCCTCTGGGCAGCCCCTCCGTGTGGGAGGTGCCAGCCCAGGCTGAGCTCACAAACCATGAAGCAGGAATAAATCCCTCAAGTCTGCCGGCAGCCCACTGTGTGACTCGAGGTCACATTCTCCATGGCCAGTTTCCACATCTGTAAATCAGGGATACTGGGCTAGCTGACCTTCAAAGTACTTAGCATTTTAGGGTCTCATCTTTTTTTAATGGCCTTGCACTTATAAAGTACTTTCATGAGGACTCCCCTGGTGGTCCAGGGGTCAGGACTCTGTAGGGCGCACAGGTTCTTGGAGAACTAATATCCCACATGCTGTGCAGCACAGCCAAAAAAAAGAATAAAAATAAAATGTTTTCATGAACTCCATTTCTTCTCCAAGCAACCAGAGGGAGTAGTCAGAAGGTTACATCCCCACTGGACAGAGGAGAAAACTGAGGGCCTCTCACTTATTATAATAAATGCAAAAGTAGGACTGCATTTCAAGAACCACAAATCCAACATCCCTGTAATGGCACCTGAGCCATGTCCCAGACCTAGGAGTCCCCGACTGGTTATCTGGGAAAAACAGGCAGCAGTGAGTGTGGCCATGGCCATGGCGGTCCTGTGCCTGCCTTGCCAACCTAGTCCCAGAGATCCCAGGGGACTGGACTGATCTGGGGTAAGTCTCAATGAGAAACTGGCAAACTTAGAGAGACTTTTTTAGGACACACACAAATCTAGGGTGAACTAGGACTCCAGACTTTGCCATGTCTCCCAGCCACTCCAAGTAGCAGATACTGGTTGTACAACCAACCGACGGGCCGCTGGTCCCACTGGACCAACAACTGGCTCTGGGACTGCTGCTAAACCTGGTCGAACAAAGGTTAATTCAGCCTTCCCTTGTCCCAGGAAAGGAATCGAGGGATCTCTTGTGCTCAGATTCTGCTGAGCCCCCCAGCCTCCAACTTTCTAGGCCTTGGCACTGCCCCAGAAAGTTTCCATCTCCCCTCTACTCCTCCTCAGCTGTCCTACATGACCTCGAAAAACATTCTTCTCTCTCTGAATCTCATCTGTGGGATGGAGACTCTAAATGACATGACCACCCTGAGTCCCTTCCAGTCCTAGGATACCAAGTCGACCTTCTCAAGGCAAATCTGCAGAAGACAGTTTTGAAGCCCCTACTGAGAAGGTGAGCTGCCTGTCATGTCCGCCTACTTTCCGAGCACTGTGCAGTCGATACGTGCTTAACATTACACAACCAGGCAGATGGGAGGAACTGCTTGTGCATATCAGGGTTTTCCTGGTGAGAATGAACTCTGACCTTCATATGAAAATGAGGAAACCAAGGCCCCAGAGAGACTGAGATTAACTCGCCAATATCACCCAGCAAGTCAGAAACCAGGTTTCCTGACTCCAAACATTTCTCTTCCTATTCTGCCAACGGGACCTTGAGATCTAGGCAACTTTTTGTCATGATTCCAAATGCAACTTACACTGGATGGAGGTTTGGGGACTGGCTCTGGCTTGTCACTTGGGTGTGCCGGGTCAGCAGGGGTTGCTGGGACAGCTGTGTCCTTTCCTGGAGAATTGACAAAACGTGTGTGAGAAGCAGAGAAAGAGGAAAAGCCCAGATGCCACCCCCTTAAGAATGGCCTTGGCCCGGAGAGTTCTCAGAGTTCCTTCCACTAGTCTGGGGAGATGTGAGGTGGTCCCAGGATGACGGCCCTGGAACACCAGGGCAGAACCTGGGCAGAGACCATCTTCCCTGCTCTCACTGGGAAAATCCCAAGGTGATCATTGCTCCTTGCTACTTTGGACCTACCTCAATAACGACACGGATGACAATTTACAATTAACAAAGTGTTTTTATATTTACTATCTTGGCCAATTCTCAAGACAGCTTTGTATCCCCATTTTAAAGGTAAGAAAACAGCCACAGAAAGGTCACCCATTGACCCCGCTGGCAACTGCAGAACTGAGCTCTCCCTCCCTGAATTCCTGGGGCTATTGTCGAGGAAGCTCCCGGAGGGTAGCTGCACGGTTCCTTCCTGAGGTGAGCCTGGCATCCATTCAGGACTCAGAAAATACTATTGAAGATAGTAGAATTATATGTAACCTTGTTTTGTATTTTCCTAGTCTGTAAATGTGTTATCATACTTTCATAATTTAAAAAAAAAAGAAAATACTATTGAATGGACAAGTGGAAGCTGGCAATGCCCGCTGCCTGCAGCACAGCAGACTCTGGGATCATCACTCTCCTCCATGCGTCCATTCAGTAAATGTCACCAGCAGCCGAGTGGAAGCTTGGCACACTGGCCTGGGCTGAGGCTGCAGGTTACCTAACCTGCAGGAACCATCTGAGTCCTTTTCTTCCCTAGTTTCAGACCTTGCCCTGGATGTGGAGACATGCCAGAGGAACGCATGTGATTACACACAGGACTTTAACCCTAAGTCACATTCGGCACTTTCCCTTAATAGGCAGTATATGGACCTGACATCTGAAAGGCGCTGCTGCAGGCCGAGAGGCAAGCCCAGTTCTGCCATGGGCCTCAGCCTCCCCGCCTGTAAAATGGAAGTGGGGCAGGGTAGACCAGAGAGCTTCTGACTCAGATGCCAACTCTAGCAACCCAAAAGTGTTGCCTGGAGCGCAATGCCTGGCACATAGTAACTGCTCATCAAATATGTACTGAGTAAGTTATATTGATAAAGATCCTGAGCCCACATCCTGGAAGGAGTGGATTGTTGCAATCCATTTCTAATGTCTGTCAGGGTCTCAGGACTGCTGAGTCACCAGCCATTTCTGGACAAGATTATTTTGAGGTCCTTTCCAAATCTGACCTTCTGGGGGATGCTGCAGTCAGAACATGATTGGGAGGACAGTCTGCAGCCTAAGGATAGACAAAGGAGAGGTGGGTTTCTGACTCAGAAGGGATTCCTCGATTAAGGGCCTAGAGAGTGAGGGTATGGGCAGAGGACCGCCTGGGCTCCCCTCGTACCTGCGAGCTCAGCCAGGTCACTGAAGGAGGCCAAAGAGGGAGATGGCGGTGGGAGTGGCTCACTGTCCTTGACCAGCTCCTCTGCCTTCTGCCGCAGCCTGGATGCTTCCATCTGGGACTCTTCCAAAAGTTCCCCTGGGGAGACAATGGGGGAAGGAGGAGCAAAATTACTCAGTTAAACATGCTGGCTCTCCACCCTGACCCCCTATGCCTATTCTGCCTGGGTTTGGTGCTCCAGGTCCTGGACTTCGCTCCCTGCATCACCTCGGGGGCTCCATGGGACACGTATCATTCCAGCCCACGGCCAGAAACAGCCTGATAAGGAAGAGGCCTTGAAACCAGAGGGAATGGAGCAGAGGGGAATTGGGAACAAACTTCTGGCCTCCAGCACCTTCTTTCTGCCCCATTCCTGCCACACCTGACTGAGGATTCCACAAAATCAGGGGCTCTTTCAGGCCCACCATCACGGTCCCAAGGGAGGCTACCCACAGCCTACAGCCTGCAGTCAGGGGCTCCCTGAAGAGAGGAGACCCTCCATAACATCAATCACCCACCACCCCTCTGGGCCTTGTTTGCCTTCTTGTATAAGTAGAGTCAGGGAAACACCATCCCTCCTTTGCCAATCTGCCATTCCAAGGAGAGATCTGCCAAGCAGGGAGAACGCATTTGGGAAATTGGGACCTATACTCAACTCCCAAAGCCCAAGGCCAGAGAATGGGGCAGCAAGGTGAAAGAAGAGCTTTAGGAATCTGGAGGAAAGGGTCCCCTTCTACATGGGGAAATCAGTGAACACCTCGCATGGAGGAAGAGTCAGCATCTGAGCTGGGTGCTGACAGACGGGGACCGGTCAGCCATGTGGAGGGAAGGGGGCTAGTCCTGGGCAGTGGCGACAGCTTGGGTGAGAGCCAGGAATCAAGGGGTCTCCTCCTGCCCTGCTTCAGGCCAAGCTGGACTCCCTGCTCTAACACTTGGGGGCTGGACCCTAGTTGCCCTGGTGATGCCAGTTCTCCCCATTTTTGGTGCTTCTGGTAAACAGCCTATTCATGGCTACTCCCCAGGTCTGCCAACTGGGCCTGCCGGCTCCCTCTCCACCACCCCACACCTCCTTCTCAGTCCCTCACGGTGTTCTGAGTCTGGTCATCAGGGTTCCAGGGTGCTGGGGACACAGGGCTGGGAAGACTGCCACCTTGCTAGAGGAGTGCACAGCGACGCAGCTGTAAGGAAGGAGAGGATGCTGGGCCAGGAGGGAGGGAGGGGACCTGGGCAGAAGCTTGCGCCAGTCAGCACTGCAGGCTGAGGGCGGAGCTCTGGAGGGAGAGGGCAGGGTCTGCTTTACCTAACATCTTTATCCCTTGCATTTTTTCCTTCAGTCGGGAATTCTCCTCCACTAGGCGCTCAAAAGCTGCGGACGCCTCTCCCAGAGGCACGCCGCCCCCAGGGTCGTAGATCCGGTATGGTCCTCTCCCTTCCATGAGGCTGGCTCAGCCCCTGCCGTGGTACCCGCCTGGCTGGAAGGACAACAGCAGTTATGTCAGGGGGCTGGCCGAGCCACTGAAGCATCCTAGACAATCAATGCCCTGGAAGGCAGTCCCCAGAACCCAGACAAGGACATAGCACCACAGGCTGGTCTGCCCATTGCACAGCAGGGCAGGATAGTCACTTCCTTTGATCTGGGTACTCTGTCTCTATTCAGGTGACCTAAGAACACCACCAGTGTCTTTTGGCAGTCTCACTGCACCGCCAGTTCACTTGGAACAGCAGTCAACTGTGAGGTGCAATGTGGAGTACAAGAAAAAGCATTGGCCTGGGAGTCAAAACACGTGAACTTCATGTCCTACTGATGGGGTCCAGAAGAAGCAGGACCCTGAATCATTGCATCCCCAGCACCCAGCAGGATATTAGCTCTGATGGGAATGTCCAGTAAACACTTGTCGAATGAATAAATAGTCTAGCTATTAACTCACTGTGGGATCATGGGCAGTCCCTTCCCCTCTCTGAGGAGGGGAAATGAAAGTCTTACACTAAATCAGTGATCTTTAAAGTGAAATGTTGTGCCCAAAGGGATAAGCAAGTCATCCAATCTGAAGTTCCATTTATACGTACACTAGCTTTTCTAAAAGAAAGAAGAAAAAGAAACCCCCCTGACTAATATTTAATATACAAATTGACACTGTCACCTTCCTCCTTCCAGTTCTAATGAACAGATGGATTTTCCATCAGAGTACCATCTGCTTGTGCAGCAAGTGCTCTGCATTACTCTGTTCGATTTCACTGGCTTTATTTCATCTGAAACCTCTCTGCAAAGTGATTTCAGGAATCTGACTTCTGTGACAGTAGAGAAGCTTCTTTCTTGTATTCATTCACTCAACAATTACTGATTGAGCATCTGTTCTGTGCTGGATGCTAGTCTAGGTGCTAGGTAATTATCAGCAAACAAAATAGACCAAAAAAAAAAATCCTTTTGGAGCTTACATGGTAGTGGTGGAAGAAGACAGACAATGAAAGAGATGAGCACAGTATTAGGGGTAATGGGAATATCTACAGACAGAAATTAAGCAGGAAGTATAAGGTAGGGCCTTAATTTTAAATGAAGGTGTCAGGAAAGGGCTCACAGGGAATGAGTGCTCTCCTTCAGGGCTCACCTGAAGGAGGTGAGGGAACTAGCCATGCAGATATCTGGGGGAATATTATTTTAGGCAGAGAGAACAGTAAGTGCAAAGGCCCTGAGGCTGAAAAACTGATTCAGCCTCCAGCCTTACAAAGACCTTACCAACCACAGAAGAGCTCCAAAGGTTTCCACCACCAGGGGCTCCAGAAGGACTTGGAGCCCCGATACCCCCCTCCCAAGGTCACCACCCCAAAGGCCAAAATGATCCTCAAAAGATCCTTTGAGCACCCACAAGTGCTTTACTAAAAGAAAAGAGTACCAAAAAAAAAAGACTAATAATAACAGCTCATTCGTTAACCTACTTGCCAGGCACTACATTAAATCTTTCAGCTGCATTATCTCAGTTAAGCTGTACAATGGCCCGAAAATATATAGTATTATCCTCACTTTATAATGGATGCTCAATGAGGTTAGAAAACTCAGACAGGATTACACAGCCAGCAAGTGAGGCAAGATGCAGATCCAGGTCCACCTAAGAAAGCTGAGTTGACCACCTGCTATTCTCACATAGCTCCCTCCAAGACTCAGGCCAGAGGGGCAACAGGCAAGTTCAAGCCTGTTTGTAAGATAACATGGAGCTCCTATCCAGTCACTCTGGGCTGTTTCCCTTGCCCTATAGCACAAGAGATAACAAGGATTTTGGCCACAGGGTCCCCATTACCCTGGGATGCCATGAGCCAGAAAGAAAAACAAAGCTCTGGTGAGTGGGACCCCTGTCCCCCGAAGACTGACAAACAAGAGAAACTCACATTTGTGAGCCACCGACACCCCCACGGAGCCCCAGAGGCACAGGACAGCTGCCCACACACCCAACACAGAAGTCACCAGCTCACGGGGGACTTATTTTTAACTCAAAAGATCAACATTACACAGCAGAGCAAAGAAAGCTCTGAAGTGCTCACTGAAATTAATTAGAAGACAGTGTGGGTGAGGCACCTGGCACAGTGACTGGCATGTAGCAAGGAGCTCCAAATGTTGGTAGATGTTGGGGGGGGGGTTCCTACCTCTGTGCTCCCCTTTCTCCTGTGAGCCTCTCCAGCAAGCCCTTATGCCCAGAATGGAATACATATGACTGGGGTAAGTCTTTATGTATCTGACTGAAAATCTCCTGGAGGCAGGAGCATGCTCTCCTCATCTGTGGTGCCAGTGCAGGCCTGACACTTGGAAAGTGAGAGGTGACTGACAGCTGAATGGAGTCCACAGATGGGGAGAGCGCGACCTGAAAGGAACCCTAAGCACCTCTGGTGATAAGTGACAGCGGGTGTCTGGGTTCCTGCTCACCACTCCACACTCACCCTACATGGAACTCACAATTGACAATATGTGATAATTTGGGAATATTTTTGCTCCACACTTGGCTTGCCCAATAGATTAGAAGCTCCAGGAGAGCAGCCACCAAGTCCATCTGGTCTACCAAGGTATCGTCAGCATGGTCCAGAACAGAGCCTCAGTAAATCTTTAATCAGAGCAGAGAGATGGAAAGGACCAGAGGAGCCCTTGATCCCACACTCGCCTCCTGAGAAGCCATGTGCAAACATCCTGAGAGCCTAACTGTGATCCACTGACCAGAGACACCGGGACAGCCATACACTTTTGGATCAAGCCTGGCACAGCCAAGCCGCCTCAGAGATGCCCAGATGTAACACCAAGCAACAGAGCAGGAGGCAGGACCCAGGAATTGAAATCCCACCTTCACAGTCTCCAAACCATGCATGCTCTCCCTCAGCACTGGGAAGCCTCCAGGGAAGGGGGCTCAGGGGAAGCAGCTGAGGGGCAGGCAGGCTATTCTCTCGACTCCAGCCTGGGTGGGCAGAGCTGGGGGCAGGGGAAGAGCACAAGCTGCAGGCAGAGGGAGCCCAGAGCAAACAGCCTACTGTGAGAAAGTCTTCCCTGGAGACCAGAAGAGCTACCCAAAGGACAGTTTGGACTTCTGGAGGCAAGAAACACAAAGAGGGGAACAGGGAATTTCCACATCCCACTGACCTCATGCCCAGATGGTCAGCGGCAGTTTCAGGATGACTTCCGGGCAGATGGGAATTCTCCTCCTGGTCTGCGTGGTTCTGAGAGCTTTCCTAGAGAGGGGACTTATTCCCAGGATGACAGAGATGGACAGGAATTTCCAAGGACAATGAGGCCAAGTCCATTACCAGGCGCCCCAAGGCTCCTGGAATGAGGGCCTGCGTCATCATCCTGTCTCCCACACTGACGGGACATTTCCCTCCATCACAGACCAAGGAATGGGCGTAGACAGGGGAAAGGAGGTGCTGACCCCACCCCTCATGCCTCGCTTGGGGTAGTACTGGAGCTCAGCGCCTAGGCATTGTGGGACATGAGCTCATCTGACCCTCACTCAGGGTGTGAGGGCAGCAGTCAGGCTCCGGAACATGAAGACCAAGGTCACACACAATGTCAGGATGGAGCTGGAAGGGCCCTGTTCTCTCTCCAGTCTGCCTCTGCCCCATCTCCATTTTTGCTCCTGCACTCACTCACTGCACTGCAGATCCCCCTCTCCGGGTTCTTGCCAAGTCAGCATGGACTCTGGGTCCACCTGGGCCTGGGTCTAGCAGCTACAGATCAGGTGACCCACCAGCAGGAGACACCAACCCACCGTGCAAAAACAGAAACAGCTGGGGGTGAAGACACATGCAGCTCAGACCTTCTTCCAAAACAAGATCCTGGTTCAAGGTTGGGGGGCGGGGTCCCCACAGCCCACCTGAAAAACCTGAGGGCGCCCACTGGAACCAGAAAGGCCTGGTTTGGGGGCAGAAAAGGGCCCAGACAGATGGCTGGTCAAGCAGTGACCACAGAGTGTAGAGATGAAGATGATGCTATTGAAACTGAAGGAGCCAGAAGAAGAGGAGGAGACAGCAGCTGAGGGGATGGAGGTGGGGTGAGGAGGGAGGGGTGAGTAGGGGTCGGAGGGTGGGGATGGGGAAGATGGGAAGGAGTAGGGGTGGGTGGGGCATGGGCCCAAATCGCAACCTCCACCCAAGGCAAAGGTTGAAAAAGGCTAGGTTCAAAATGAAGTTTCCATTCCAGTTTCTGCGCTGAGACACTTCAGTCCATCAGAGGCTATCTTTCAATTAGCTGTGTGCTGATGCCAGGAGTAGGGGCTCCCAGGGTCCCCAAATGATATGAATTTGTTTAGTAACATTTGCAAAATCACTATGATTTCTCAAGCATGTTTTTCCACTGGATTGTCAAGAGAGCCTTGGGAAGAAGGCAGGACTGACATCTGTTCCACAGGTGAGGAAACTAAGGCCCACTTGGCAGCTTAGCCTGATCTAATGCCACTGGGCACTGGCTGCATCCTGAGGCCAGCCAGACCCTGCGGCTCTGGGGGAAGTGAAGTTCTCGCCAGCCCAGGAAGGACAGCCTGAGTAGATCTCTGGCACTGGGAACTGGGAGGACACAGTGGCCAGCAGCGACCTCTCCAGGGAACGGCAGGGGCTGCCAGGGATGCTGGTGGGTAGGGGTGACAGTGGGAAGGGTCTCCAGAAAGAAGGCAAGGACAGAAAGTCGAAGTCCTGGCATCTACTCTATTGCACACTCTGACGGCCACGGGGCCAAGCTGTCCATTCTGTGCACCTCAACTCCCTCACAGGCACAGAGGGAGGAGCCTGGACTAGACAGAAACTGAGTGATGTCTTCATGCTGGCCTAAGGGTCCATGGAGACCCAAACTCTGGGAGTCAGCCACAAGGTAAGAAAGAGCGGGGGACCCAGCACACACGCACCAGATGGTACAGCCCCAGATCAGGAAGAAAGGGTCCTGACAGGGCAGGATCAGAGACGAAAGCAGATG